TTTTGTTTTGTTTTGTTTAAAGTTAGCACTGTGGCTGGGTGCTGGTGGCTCATGCCTGTAATCCTAGCTACTAAGGAAGCAGAGATCAGGACTATTCCAGTTTGAAGCCAGCTGGGCAAATAGTTTGTGAGACCCTATCTTGAAAAAAAAAATCACAAAAAAGACTAGTGGAGTAGATCAAGGTATAGGCCTTGAGTTCAAACCCCAGTACCACAAAAAGGAAGGAAAGATGGAAAGGAAGGAAAGAAGGGAGGGAGAGAGAGAGAGAGAGAGAGAGAGAGAGAGACAGACAGACAGACAGACAGAGACAAGTCTGTGTTACAATACTTCAATCTTGGAGAGGTCAAATGTGTATACAGTTAAAGGCAAAGCAAATGATAGATTCTATAAAAGGAAATGTGAGGGTGATCACATGAGGAAGAAGTAAATTCACTTCAGTGAGGAAATCTAGAGGGCTTCAGGGAGGCTATGTCTTAAATATGAAAAGAATTTCCACAGGCCTTGATGAGTGAAGCCTTTAAGCAAAAGTATGAAAGGGATGGCTTAGGGAGTTTGGGGAAAGGCATATGATTTGGTGTGACTGGAGGGATGGGAGGCGAGTCTTAAGGGAAACCAGCTTAGAAAAGCAGGTTAAGAACACTCAGAATGTCTGCTAATAAGTTTGGGCTTTAACCTGCAGGCAAGTTGGAATATACTCCAGTGTTTTGGGAAGATAGCAAGCAAACTGTAGAGGAATGGATAGGACAAGAGAGGCCAGGTTGGAGGTGACTGAAATTGTCCAGAGACGAGATCATGCTGGCATTTACTGCGGAGCAAGAGCTGGTAGATAGAAGAGGGGAGCTATTACAGACATGACTGAGAATGCATCAAGACATGGTGATAACCCACCATGTGTGGAGGATGGCTTTGGGGTTCCTATTTTGAGAAAGCAAGAGAATCAGAGTACCACTTGGAAGCAACATTAAGAAAAGGGCACTGGAGAGGCAGCATTGGCAGTTGAGAGAGAGGTCTGAGCTAGAGATCCAGATTTGGAATCAAATCCACAAATGGCTCTTCAGGGTTTTTTTGTTTGTTTGTTTTTGGTGGCACTGGGGTTTGAATCAGGGCCTCATGCTTGCCAGGCAGGCACTTTTACCACTTAAGCCATTCAACCCTCCCTTTTTTTCTTGGTAGAACTGAAGTTTGAACTCAGGGTTTCTTGCTTGTGAAGCAGGTGCTTGAGTCACACCTCTAGTCCATTTTGCTTGTTTTTTTATGGCGGGGCGGGGGTGGGGAGTTAGGTCTTGCAAACTATCTGCCAGGTCTGGACTCAAGCCACAATCCTCTCGATCTCAGCCTCCTGTTGTTTTTTTTGTTGTTGTTGTTTTGTTTTGTTTTTTGAGATAGGTTTTTGCTATGCAGCCAAGGCTGGCCTCAAACTTGATAGTTTCCTGCCTTGCCTCCCAAGTGTTGGTATTACAGGCATGTATTATCACATCCAGCCTAAGAGAGGAGGGTTTCTCAACCTTAGCATTATTGACATGGTGCAGAGTAATCCTTTTATTCCCCAGCTCTGAGGATTGAACCCAGGGCCTTGCTCATGTTAAGCAATCACTTTACCACTGAGCCATATCCTCAGCCTTTAGATTTTTGAGACAAGGTGTCCCTGTGTAACCCAGACTGGCCTCAAACTTGTGATACATTTGCCTACACCTGAGATCACAGGTGTGTGCTACCACACGCTGACTACCAGAGAGTTCTTTGTTGCAGGGAGCTATCCTTTGCATTGCAGGATGTTTTAGTAGCATATTTAGTCGCTACCCACTAGATACTATAATACCCTTTCCCCTAGTCATGACAAAAAAAATATCTCCAAGCACTATCAAATGTCCCCTGGAGGGCAAAGTCAACCCCACTGAGGAGTACTGCTCTAGAAAATAGTGCAGAGTCAGAGGCCAAGGGCAGACTCTTTGGATTCTAAGAAAACGGTCAGAAAGGAAGAGGGTACGTTGGGGGAGATGAAGGGTGACTGTGTCGCAATAGGGTGGACGGCAGTTTAACAAGCTACAGAAAGGAGAGTGGAGGAAGAAAGTGCTGTGAGCTCTATGATGGTGCAGGGAACAAATTCACTTGAGCTCCTGAATGTGTATTTTCCTCGTCCTCCTGGCCTTTTCCCTGTGAGACAGAAGTACACTGCCCAGCTGGGCATAAAGAAGATTGGTATATGCATTTAATCCTAAAAATGACTTTTTTCTTCAATACTGGAAATTGCTCCGATGGTCACACATGCTAGTCAAGCGCTTTATCACTGAGCTACATCCCCAGTCCATTGAAATGACTCTTTTTCTTTTTTCCTGTCCTTCCTTCCTTCCTTCCCTTTTTTGGGGGGTAGGGTGGGATGGGGGTAGGGGTACTGGGATTTGAACTCAGTGCTTTGCACTTGCTGGCATGGGCTCTACCGCTTTAGCTAGTCCCAGTCCTGGAATTCTTAACAGTAATCACAATCACCAATATTTACTGTTTTTTTAAATTTGTGTCAGACACAGGTGATGAGGTAACTGAGGTTAAGCTGTTATGCAAGTATATCTAAGCTCATGTAATATTAATAGATCAGCATTTCCAATGGAAATATGACTTGAGCCACATCATAATCTGTAATTTAAATGTTTTTAGTAGTTGTGCTGAGGATACAGTTCAGTGGTAGAGCACTTACATACCATTCAGAAGGCTCTGGGTTCATTCCCTAGCACCAAAAAAGATCCCTAGCCAAAAGTTAAATAAAATAAAGACAAAAATTTTTTACTAGTCAAATTTAAAAAGTAAAAGAAACAAGTGAAATTAATTTTATCAGTCTCTTCTACTAAATATACCCAAAACATTTTTTCAACATGCCACCAGTATATAAAAGTAATGAGAGATTCGCATTCTTTTTTCATACTAAGTCTGGGGTGTATTTTATTCTTAACAACCCATCTCAATTCAGACTAGCCATAGTGAAAACAAATGCTGAACAGCTACATGTGGTTGGTGGCTACCACATTGGACAGCACAAGTAGAGACCAAGGATTTTTTTTTTTTTAAAGACAGGAGTTCCCTAAATTACCTAGGCTAGCCTTGCACTTTGGTCCTCCTGCTTCAGCTTCCAGTGTATCTGGGATTCTAGGTGTGCTTCACTATACTCAGCAGAGATCAAGGAATCTAACTCATCTCTACATGGCCATGTTGTAGGCTTTCTAAGTCTCATGAGAGGGAGGTAGCCACGCTAACTGGAAAAGCAAACTAGGACATACCTAGTTTGCCAGGCTGTTTGTCCTGGTCACCCAAATTCAGGTCTGCATAACTTAATGATCTCACAACCTTGTTGGGGGATAAGACTTTATCGTAAGCTAGACTTTCATGAGTGGGGGTGTACCTCAGTGTATGAATATGTGCATAGCATATGCCAGGTTGAGTTCAATCCCCAGCACCAAAATGCAAAATATTTGGTGGGCTTGGTGGACATTTTGACAACATGGCTTTTCCTTCGGCGTGTTTGTTATGTTTCATGGACATCCTTGCAGTTTAAGATGATGCTTTAAAAATAGTTCTCTCGCTGGGCATCAGTGGCTTCCGCTTGCAATCCTAGCTAGTTGGGAGGCTGAAATAGGGAGGATCACGGTTCAAGGCAAATAATATGAGAGACCCCCATCTCCAAAATTACCAGAGAAAAATGATTGCGGCTCAAGCAGTAGAATGCCTGCTTTGCAAACATAAAACCCTGTGTTCAAACCCCAGTTCCACCAAAAAAATGAAGTTCTCTCTTCATGACAGCTCTAGCCCTGTCACTTGATGGGAGAATCAGCAGAACCGGTAAGATTGTTTAGAATTGACACTTTCTATTGAAATCTTTTTCCTGCTTAAGTCTTCTTTTGTTTCACTGGAAAGGAAGCAAAAATTTTAAAAAATGAGCACATTTTTTAAAGTGTACAAGTTGCTTTGTTACAGTAAAACTAAATGTGTAGTTGGTGGTGGTGGCGGGGGTGTAGCTCATTCATGAAGCCCTGGGTTCAATCCCCAGCACCAAAACCAAAAGTGTACACAAAGGAAAAAATAAAGTGTCCCAAAAGGTTACAGGGGTCCAAAATTGATCAAAGCCTTTTAAAAAGTATTCGTTAGAGAAGCTGACATTTCCTCCTTGGAACTGATACTTCTTTTGGGATGGGACAAGAATGTTTGTTCCCTTCTGTGTGTCCCTGTTATTGTTCTTCCGCCTTGATAAACACCATCTGGGGAAGAGTAGATTTTTCTCTGGCTCAAAGCCACGTTAGTGGAAAAATCCTTTGCCCTGAGCCCCCCAGTCCATTGGACAGTCCTCTGATCACTGACTGGGGTCACCAACCATGACCCCTGAAGGGAAACACAGGACTGCTGAACTCTGGAAGGGAAAGAGAGGGTGGTGAGCCATAGTTTCCTCATTGTCTGCTTCCTTCCAGACCCTGTGCTAGGCATATCTCGTGTGCTGTTTCCACTCCTTCCCACCACTGTCAACTCAGCATTACCACCTGCAAAACCTGGAGGGCTGGAGAGATTTGCTTAGGGCCACCCAGCTAGTAACCCAGGGCTTTCTAGCATCAGAAACCAGACTCAGCATTCCAAACTCAGGGGATTTTAGAGTCTTCTGCTCATTCAATACATCCCTGGGGACAAGTTGTCCAGCAAGAAATTTTCACGTCTGCATTCTCTTTCATGTGAACCAGGCCTGACATAGAACTTATGGTTAATTTGGGTCTCTAGAAACTGGAATGAGACACTAAAGACATAAAAAGGGAGACGTTCCAGCTTCAAGACACCTAGAAGGGCTGCTTGCTCTTTCTTTTTCTCATTCCTGACAAGCTAGAAGACTTGGCGCCAGGGAGCTCTGTGGCTTTAAGTTAAACCTCTGGGAGGTGACAGGGAGGACGGTGGAGGGTGCCGCCTACCTGGGGAAACCTGCGTTAGGTGTGGCTGGTGTGACTGGAGCGCTGGGGATATGGGGTGGGCGGAGGCGGGCTGAAAGTTGGAGCAAGCAGGAAGTGAAACGAGGACTGCCGACTGCCGGGGAGGAAACCGACGAGGCCAGTTCTGCTGCTGACAGGCCTGAGCACTCCGGGACATGGTGAGTGACTTGGGAACTGGGAAAGAACCGATTGAGAGCGGAGCCAAAGGGGGCTCGAGACTGGGGTTTGGCTGTGCTGGGAAAAGGCAAGTTGGTGGCAAAGTCAGAGGGCTGGACCAGCACTGCCTGTGGCCTCTCCTCTTTGACAACTTGGTCACAAATAGCCCTGAGCTGCCTGGGTGGAGGTTCCTGCCCCTTCTCCACTGCCTCCCTCCCCCATCTTGGTGCTGGACCAGAGCAGGGTTTGGGTGGGGGCTGGGGGCCCGAATTCCAGGCAGAGTTGAGAAGGGCCGCCCTCCCCTCTGTCCTCCTCCTGCTCCAGCTGGGCCTGAGCCGCGTTGTTGTGACACTACCCGGCTGTTAGCACTTCTGCTGTCTCAGATTCCCAGCCAGCAACAGGAGTTCTCCCCTTGCTCTTTCACTACATCCCTGGACAGATACTCAAAGGATATGTCTGTCCACCAAGCCCAAGCAATCAGCCCCTTCTCCATGAACAGGAGGAAGAGAGATAAGGGCTTCCATGATAATCTAGTTGGAGCCCATACCTCTGGCCAGTTCCTGAAGGACCACTGGGTCACAGAGGGAGGAGCCTAGTCATGTTTTTCTCTCCCTGTTCAAAAACTTTATCAAGCAGCCTCAGGGATAGGGAGGCATCAGCCAAGGCGGACTTCCTCCATTTCCACAATGGCCCCGCTGTTTTTATTAATATCCACATAAGTAGGCAGTTGTGTGGGGCCTGCACAGGGTGCTAAGTGGTGGGGAAAAGCAGAAGTGTGAGACTCAATCACACGTGTGGTGCCTTGTGGGGGCCTTGGTTGCCTGTTGCTGTGGGTCCCAGCCATGGAGCTGCGGTTACACTGGCCAGGAAGCCCCAGGCCAGAGCAGCTCTCCAGCAGCTGTCTGGGAGAGGCAGATGAGTGGGGCTAGGTGAACATGCTGTACTGGCCAGCACCCACACTTTAAGTGAGAACCCAGTGGGATCAGGGAAGTGAGCTGTCTCTGGGGATTGGTAGATAGTGCTCTGCTGTGCACTGGAGGGAATGTTGTGAGATGCCACCTCTGCCATCACTATGACCTTCTCTGAGAAGCATGGAAGCAGGGAAGATAATGTCCTGCTTTTCCTTCTTGGCCTGATTTACTCTGTCTAGCATCAGATCTACCTTTTGGGGCCTAAAAATATACTTAGGTTTGGTTACAGGTGTAATACATAAAAACAGTCTCTTCATAAACAATTCACTCATTACAAAAAGCTGAAATCCACCTTAGGCCTACCTTCCTCTGGCCTCTTGGATCCTCCATCACTTGGCCTAATTGATGCTGTTGTCATCCAGGAGGAGGGCAGCAGAGGTGGAGAAAATGATCGAGTACGAAACCTGCAGAGTGAGGTGGAGGGAGTCAAAAATATTATGACCCAGAATGTGGAGCGAATCCTGGCCCGTGGAGAGAACTTGGACCATCTCCGCAACAAGACAGAGGATCTAGAAGCCACGGTGAGACAGGGAGCCCACTGGAGCTGGTGGAAGAGAGGGAGGGAGAATTGTTGAAGAAAACAGAAGTTTTTGTGAGGGAAGGCAAAATGAGCAGAAGGGATGAAGTCTGCCATTCCTGCTGTCTTTTTGCCTATTTTGGGAATTTTTGTCAGTTGGGTTCCTACTTCTGGTTCTGTTCTGCTCCACTGATTGGTGTGGAGCCCAGGGATGAGTCCAGTGCCTGGGGTTTTGGGGGGGCATACCCATGAAGGCATTTCCTGAGACAGATAGACATTCAGTCAGCCTGTACATTCTTAAGCTTCTTTCGTTTGAAACTGATTTTCACTTTAAATTCTACCCTTGACAATTATTTGGATCTGACCTCCTCCCCACACAAAAAATATTAGCTCTGGGAAAATCCTCCCCTAGCCTTTGGTCTTCTCTGGGAGTTAGGCAGGGAGTAGAAAATTAGTAGTACTGAGTCATCATTAAAAAGAAGCTGGGAAGAGCAATGAAATTCTTTGATCCCAGGGTTCTCTGCCAGCTGAAGGCTAGAATAATATCTCCCACACATCTTGCTAGACCTTCCTCCCTCTCTCCAGCCAGCTGTTTGGAAGGAGCAAGGGAGTAACTCCAAAGTTCAGCTAAGGCTAAAGCCCCAGGTTCTATGTCCAGTGGAGAGACTGGTTCTGGCTTTCTGAGTTCTATGTGGAATCTTGAACTCTGGGCCTTGCACTTGCTAGGCAAGTGTTGTACATTTGAGCCTCCAGGGCTTTTTGCTTTAGTTTATTTTTCAGGTATGGTCTCATGCTTTTGCCTGGGGCTGGCCTCAGACGGCAATATTCCCACTCTGACATAGCTAGGATTACAGATGTATACCACCACGCCCAGATTTTTTGGTGGCAGTGTGGGAGGGCACATATTGGGATTAGAACTCAGGGCTTCATGCTTGTGAGGCAGGCACTCTTATCACTTGAGCCATGACTCCAGCCCTTTTTTCTCTTGTTATTTTGGAGATAGGGTCTCCCTTTTCCCACCCCTGCCCCTGCCAGGCTGGCCTGGACTGAGATCCTTCTATTTTAGGCATCCAGCTGGGATGAAAGGTGTGTATCACCACACCCAGCTGTTGGTTGAGATGGAGTCTTGTGAACAACGTTTTGCCCAGTCTGGCCTTGAACTATAATCCTGCTGATTTCAGCCTCTCCCATCCAAGTACTAACCAGGCCTGACCCTGCTTAGCTTCCGAGATCAGATGAGATTGGGCGCATTCAGGGTGGTATGAGGTAGACTGAGTTCAGCCTTTCAAGCAGCTAGGATTGCAAGCACTCATACTGTTTGAGCCACTCTGCCAGCCCTTTTTTTTGATGGGTTTTTTCAAGATAGGGTCTCACGAACTATTTGCCTGGGGCAAACTGTGATTCTCCTGATCTCTGCTTCCTGAGTAGCTAGGATTATAGGTGTGAGCCACTGGTGCCAGCTCCAGCTTGTTTTTTTGAGATAGGGTCTCACTAACTTTTTTAGCAGGACTGGCCTGAAGTCATGATCCTCCCCTCTTCCTCCTGCTTAGCTAGGATTATAAGCATAAGCCACCAAACTCAGCCCTCTGTGGAATCTTGGGTATTGCTCCTTGGTCTCCCTGGGACTTAGTTCCTCTTTCTGTAATTTAATCTGGGTAAATGACCCAGGGAGATTTAGTGTCTGCAACTTGATTTGAGGGAGAAGTAGGAGTTTCCCCCACTTCCAACCCCCTGCACTGCCCTGTCCTTTCCTCTGCTTCTACAGTCCCTAGAAGACAAGGAGTCATGGGGCCAAGAGGTGCACCCACCTGGAGTCTGCAGCCCTCAGTCCAGGGTCTACTTTCCCAAGGGTGGACTGTACTGCCTGTTGGTGTTGCACACCTGGGTGTAAGCATGTGTTAAAGACCCTTCAGGATGTATGACAGTGCAGGGGTAGGTAAGAAGAGAAAGAATTCCAGAGCTGCCATCACATTTAGGTGGCGAACTCACAGGAGTCCAAGAATTCTAAACTTGAACCAGATTGTTACAAAGGTATATATATATATCAAGGTAGGAGGATAGAGCATCTTTTATTTCAAACTTTATTACTTCAGCTAATAACGTATATACTTAGATGTGGGTGTCCGTTTGTACTCTTATTTCAGGGGAAGTAGTCACTGGGTCACTCATTCTACCTTGTTCCCAACAGTCTGAGCACTTCAAGACGACATCACAGAAGGTGGCTCGAAAGTTCTGGTGGAAGAACGTGAAGATGATTGTACTCATCTGTGTGATTGTTTTTATCATCCTCCTCTTCATCGTGCTCTTTGCCACCGGTGCCATCCCCACTTAGGGAATCCCTCCCACCCCACCCTCCTCTTCAGGGGTGACCCTTCACAAATGGGTGCCAAGAGGGGCCCTCTCTCTTGTTCTCCTGCACAGGAATGCTTGGTCACAGAGGCCTCTCTGCCACATTGTATACCCCAGGAGCACCCTGATCCCCTGGAAAAAGAGAGCTGGACTGCGGCTGCATGTCACAGGTCCTTAGAGTGGGTTAGACAGACCCAGAGGACCCTGCATGTAGCTGGGAGACTGATGGTGGCTGGTGGGCAATAAAGACCTTACAGTATCCCTATGTGTGAGGCACTTTCTCTCTTTCCATTTCACCCTTGACCCTGCCATTTCATTTGTTCCTGAGGATTCCCTCTGGCTGAGGTTCTCTCATTTGAGGCCCAAGTGGTTAGAGGGTTGGAGAGTGCATGTTTGGCAAAGAAAGATGGAAGCTCCCTGCCTTTCTTTATTCCACTCTGTTCTATTTGTTGTCATAGGTGTTGAGAAAATAAGAATTTTCTGGGGATGTGGCATAAGGAGAATTCAAAACCTTCACAGCATGTTAGGGTGGCATGCAAGTTTAAGTGTTCCCTTAGGTTCCCTTGGGTCCTGCCATGTTCTCTTAATACTCTTCTCCTGAAAGTATTAGCTGAGACATGAAATCCTGGACAAGAGCATTTAGGATCTGGTTTAGGGCTTCCCATGTCATCTGCCATTTCCATCTCTCTTCTATGGCATTGTTGTAATCCAGAGTCAAAACTTGGAGGAACTCAGCTGCTTTTCCTTTTCTGGTGATTTTGTATATTCCTTTTGTCTTTTGTTTGCCCCTGCCCTTCTGGGACTTAATAGGTCCATGGGTCTCAGCTGTCCCGATGGGGCGAGCATCTCTCCCCTGCATCTCATGGCTGGGCACAGTCAGTGTCACAGGACAGGGCCTGCAGCCCTCCTTCCTTTTCTTGCACAATAAGCTTTCTGTCTTCTGGCCTCGCTCCTCTCCACCAGGTTCCACTGTCATTGCCGCTCTTCCCAGTGCCCAGCCTGCCTTAGCTCATGGGGAGGGACCTTGCTATCTCTGTCCCTGTTCTTACAGGCTTTTCAAAATTAGAAACAACCTGTTATTGGGAGGAAGTGGGGAAGAGACAGAGTTGAGAGATAGGATTTGGGACTAGCTTGGAGGTCAGGCTCTGGAATCATGCTCCGATTTCTGGGGGAGGGCAGGGGCAAGTGCCCGAGTTCCTCTGAGGAGGCTTTCCCATGACTCCATCCATCCTCTCTCTCCTTATCCTACCTGGATGCAAGGTCCAAGTTTGGAATGGAGGAGGGTCTGTGCTTACAGAGACTCAGTTCTCTGGGTCAAGAGGGACTTTGTTTGGGATGTTGGCAGTGGCCTGGGTGGCGGAGGGCAGGGGATTAGTGATTTTTTGACCGTGATGAGAGAAGAGGATGGGTAGATTCAACTTAGGAGGGCTTGTAGTGGTAGCAGACATGCCAGCATGTTTGGTTGAGGAGCAGGCTTCTACCATGGTAGACTCTCCTCCCGGCACTCACACAGGTAATTGTTGGGGTGAGTGACGCCTCCCTGCTAACCCCATCTGCCAGATCTGAGCAGCAACCCCCAGCTCTCAGAGAGCACACACCTCTGGCCATTTCATAGATTGGGCCCCCGAAGGGTGGCATAGCTCCTAATTCACCCCACCCCTTGGGGTGTCACCCCAAGTCGGGCGTTGGCGGCCCGGCAGGAGGCGCCCCACGGACCCTGTCCCCGTCGCCAGCCGCTTTCGATTTGCCCCTGTCTTGGTGGCTGCTCACGGAAGGCGCGCCCCCCGCCCCCGCCAGCGACGGGCCCCGCCCCGTCCTCCGCTTCCTCCGGGGCCGCTGGCACTGCGGCCGCTCGGCGGGCAAAGCAGCCGGGACCCGGCGAGGCGGCGGCGGCAGCGACGATGGTGAGGGCCAGGGCGGGGTCGGCCGGCCCGGCGGGGCAGAGGGCGAGCGCGCGGGGCGGTAGGCAGGAGTCCGGGGCCCGCGGGCGGGGGCCGTGCAGGATGGACCCTCAAGGGTACCGCGACAGGAGCAGGACGAGGACCAGATCCGCTGCTCTACACGCAGCCGGGAGGGAGAGTGGGGCGTGCGCCCCGTCGCTGCTGCCCGGCGCGGAGTGAGCCGGGGCACCGGCTTCCCACGCCCCGGCTTCTCACGCGCAGGCTTCCCACGCCCCTGCAGTGAGGTGGTTGTGTGGACATTGGCTTTGGAGTTAGGCTCTGGGCTGGGATCCCGGCTGTGTGACCTTGGACGAGTTACTTAACCTCCTTTTCCGTACCATGAAGTGGGGCCAGCAATACCTGCTTTATTGGGGCCTTGCAAGGTTCAAGGAGTTTCTATGGCCCAGACCGCCAGGCACTCAGACAGAACTCACTGCTAAGAAGTGGTAGGTAATGTGATGACCTGGTCAGTACTTCCCGGAGCTGAGAGGAGGCAGGCCTGGCTCAGGGTTTGGAAACCTGAGCAGTCGCTTGGTAGAGACTCTTCCAGCCCGGAGCTGGGTCCTGGAGGACAAAGCTCTTTTCCCTGGGAAAGAGAAACGAAGTTGTTTACTTGTTTGTAAAAGGTTACCTGAAGTTATGAGTGTGGCACAGCCCTGACTCCCTCTTAACCTCTACCTAGTGACATATTGCTGAGTTGAGTCACCTCCATCCCGCTGCAAACTCTGTCCTCACTTGCCATCTTCAAGGCAAAGGTGTCAGAGACAGCTGGTGCCAGGTTCCCCTCTCCCCTGTGGTTCCTGGAATGGTGGACCAGGCAGGATGCAGGCTTGGTGCTTTAAGGTTCTGCCTTGGAGAGTTGGTGAGGTGTAATGGATGTGGTCCGGCTAGGGGTCTCAGTGCCTGGATGGCCTCATCTCTAGGGAACTAGAGGCAGGAAGGGGAAGCGGGGCAGGAAGGTAGCATTCAGCTCTAAGGCCACACCAGGAAACTGAGGAAGGCTTGAGAATGGGCAGAGCCCAGGGCCCACTTCCGAGTGTATAAGGCAAGCTATCAGGCAGGGCTTGGGGCGGGGGTGGGCTTCTAGCTGAGCCTTAGATCTTGGGGAGAAAAGGAAACTCTGAAATGAAGGCTGAGGCCAGGGTAAGTTATCATATGTACTGGAGAACCTTGGGACTCTCAGAAGTACACTTGAGGCGAAGGGTACATTGACCTCTCTCATGAGAACATGAGAAGGGTACATTGACCTCTCTCATCACCACCCATCTCCCAGCCCCATCCTCTGCTTCTTCTTAGGCAGTACTAGGGTTTGAACTCAGGGCCTCACACTTGCTTGGCAGGTGCTCTACGCTTGAGCTATGCCCCCAATCCCCTCTGTTTCTTCTTTAACACTTGCCCCTTCTCTGTTCCCAGCTTTTTTCCTTCCTCTTTTCCACCCCCTGTCTCTACTGTCCCTTTTTTTTTTTCTTTGCGGTACTGGGGCCTGCACCTCTACACCTTGAGCCACTCCACCAGCTTTTTTTTGTGATGAGTTTTTTTTCATGATAGGGTCTTACATACTATTGCCTGAGCTGGCTCCTCCTGATCAGCTAGGATTATAGGCGTGAGTCTCTGGCAGCTGGCTTCTTCTGGTCCTTTCTTTTCCTTCTCTTCTACTCCTCTCTATGGCACAATCAACAAGGAACTGGCTAGTGGATAGTTCCTTTGTACCAGTCATGGTGACAAGTATAGGCGTTAGAGTAGGAACAAAGCAGTGATGGGAAAGATGGAAATTGAATGAGTCATTTAACTGAAGTCATTCATCTTGTAGATGGTCCTCTCTCCAAAGAATTTGTGTTTAGAGCCACGGGCCTCCCTCAGATGCACCCTAGTTGAGTTGGTGGCATCTAGCCAGTTAGCTAGAGCACTGGACGTCCCATTGTCTGCATCTGGTTTAGCACAGGGGTTAGGAATGTGATTCCTGGAGTCTCTGTTGGTTCTACAGCCAGATCTTCTACTCCCTGGCTCTGTGATCTTAGATAAGTAAGTGATTTAACGCCTCTGGGCTAAAGTTTTCGGTAAAACTGGGGTAATAATACTGCCTTCAGTAGGCAGTTGTGTGGATTTAATGAGATAAGGCAAATGCACAGCCAGTAACACAGTGCTTAGGGAAGGTTATCATGTGCCCATTGAAAAGTGCCTGTTATTATTGCTCAAGATGTAGTCTTCCCACAGCTTGTAGTGCCTAATGGGAATAAACCAGATGCTGTTTTCAGCATCTTCATTTAGGTTAGAAACAATTAAATGCACAAAACTGAGAGATTTTACTAATCAGAAGTATTGTGCTCTGACAATAAGTATTGGGATCTGACTTTTAAGAAAAGAAGAAGAGCTAGGGATATTTGGACTGTATTAATAACTCATTTAGAATGGGTTAGGCATTGTACTAAGATTTTTGTTTACAATATGTCACATAATCCTGAGCTAATATTATGAAGTTTATGAGGTAGGTGTTGTTATTACCAGTTTATAGATGAGGAAGTGGAGGGTCAGAAAGGTCACATCCTGAGTTGTAGTCACTGAGCTGGTGAATGGCAGGATTTGGTGAGAGGCAGAATTGGAAGAGGGGGATGCAATGCAGAGCCTAGCCCTTCTCTGAGCTGAGTACTGACCCGTGGAGGAGATAACACACCTCCTGCACTGGTCCAGCTACAACAGGGCTTCTTGGATACCAAACAGAAGAGAGAGGTTGAAAGAAAGTTAGGATGAGAATGGGTGATTTTTTTTTTTTTTAATGAGATAGAGTCTCACTATGTCGCCCAGGCTGGTCTCGAATTCTGGGACTCAAGTGATCCTGCTGCTTTAGCCTCCCAAGTAGCCAGACTACAGGTACATTCTACTGCACCTAGCAACAAGGAAAAGGTTTTTTTTTTTTTTTTTTTTTTTTTGGTGCTAGTGTTTGAACCTATGGCCATGCATACTAGGCAGGTGCCCTACCATTGAGCTACATCACCATCCCAACAGGGAGATTTTTGTGAGCTGTGTTTTTTAGAGGAGCTAAGGGTTTGGAGCCTGGATAACCCTGAAAAGAGACTTAGACAGCTGGGGATGTAGCTGTGGACCTGTCCACAGAATGATGTGGGATGTGTGTGTGTGTTTGTATGTGTGTGTATGTTGAGTGCTGAGTGTTGTAGGGGATATTCTGTACAGACAGTAATAGTCTGACAAGAACATTTCCTACGTAACTGCCACCCTCTGTCTGGCAACAATTGCACACCCCCACCTCCCAGTTTAAAACCCCAACCCCTGTAGGCCTCTGACAGGTCTCAGAAATGCCTCTCACTCATCCTTCCTGTCTGTGCTTTCTGCTTGCCATACCACCCCTGTCCAGCAGGCATCTCCTCACACCCTTGCTGCACTTCTCCACCCTCTGGCTGACCTGTCTGCCCAGACTTTCCTCACTTTCATCTATGCCTGTCTCCCATCAATATAGAAATTATCCTGAAGCTGCTCTCTAATGTTGCCCTTAGCCCAGACTTGTGCTGGCTCTGGTTTTATCACTCCCTCCAAGCTAGTCTCCAAACTAGGCTCCTTGACTTTTGTTGCTTTGCCCAGCCCCACCCTTCCTGTCTACCATTACTTTCTGCTTGGTCCTTTACTGTCCAGGTGTGTCCCTGTCTCTTTCTACTAGAATGCCCCAGCCTTACCCCATCCTTTAAGTGGTCACCCCACCCTTTCAAACACAATTCTTTTTTTTTTGTTGATGTTGTTATTTATTTTAGAGGTGTGTGTGTGTGTGTGTGTGTGTGTGTGTGTGTGTATGGTGGTACTGGGGTTTGAACTCAGGGTCTCACACTTGCTAGGCAGGTGCTCTACCACTTGAGTTACTCCACCAGCCCATCACAATTCTCCCCCTTGTAATGGCACTGTCTCTGTGGGCAGCTGTAATACTTATCTTTGTATTTTACAGTGTAGCTCTTTACCCTTCTCTGATTATATCTTATGTGTTTCTTCCTCAGCTGAAGAGGGATCTTCCCTTAAAATAGGCACAGTTCATTCAGAAACTATTTATCATGTGTCTTCCATCTGCCAGGCACTATGCTGAGTTACAAGTGGCACAGGGCAGTGTGGCCCTTACCCTCTGGTTGCTCGTCTTCTTCCAAATTCCCTAGTGCTTTAGCTCTCGTGTATCAGAAGAGACCCACACACATAGCCTTTTACCCTCTGCTTGAGTGGGACCAAGAAGGCTGAGACTTGAGTGGCTCTGTTCCCTGGAGTACGTGTTCTTTTAGGCCTGGGCTCATCTTGGCTTCCGACAGGCTTGGCTTTGCTATGGAGGGAGACTGCTTTAGATTGCAGCTGGAGGCACAGCTCTTGGAGAATGTGACCCAGTGTTACCCCTAGTGTGAGAATAAGATAACAACAGCTGTAGCATTCAGAACAGAAAAAATAACATCCAGTATCCTACCAACCTCTAGCAGGGATTCTCATTTTCAAATCTTTGTCCATTCCCAAATTTTTGTCTGGAACTGCTGGAATGTGGGCAATTTCAGAGGGCCAAATAATGGAGCCTTGTTGAATAACAGAAGTAACAGTGGTAATGATGGTAAAGGTAGAAAGTATGCAGTTCCCCTACTTTCTTCATTATTCCTCTGTGTTCCTCAGTCTTGAGCACCCCTCCACCTCATGGTTTGCTGCCAGCTCTTGAAGCAAGTTGTTTTTCTAGATCATGGGTAAATATTGACCTGTTTGGGTTTCAGATGCCTGCCCCTTGAAACTCCTGCTGGGCTGGATAAACACACTGGGAGAACATCTCTTGAAACTAAGAGTTGCTTTTGGATAGGCTATAAAGCAGTTGACCCACTCACTGAGTCCTTACAATGGTCAGCATTGTGCCAGCCTCCCAGCTCCAGAGTCCCTGCCCCCTCTGCCCCCCAAGAGTTTGTGGTCTAGTTGGGGAGATAGGACTCATTCTTAGGGAATGCTTGGAGGCTATGGGTAAAGAAGTTTCAAGGATCCTGAAAGAGGATTCTTGCTTGAGTGGGAAGTGGTCCATTTGTGACCAACACTTACAGTTCTCTAGTTTTAAGTGGAATTCAGTCCAAGTGCCAAAATGTCTGCTGCAAACAATGGGTGAGAATGGGCAGGAAGGGGAGGTTGGCCAATACTCTCTGTGAGGAGGAGATAGAACAGGAATGGGCTTGGAGGACTAGGCTGAGGGGAAGGAGTTGCTGTGGTTTGCTAATCCTTTGGTATTTATCTCCCTGAAATGTCCCTGGACCTGCTCCTTGACCTGCAGCTTACACCAGGGCCTCCAGCCCTGGGTCTCTCAGTCACACAAAGCCAGAGCCCACAGCCTTTCCAGCTCATGACCCAGACACTTCCTTTCAACCTGTGCACCTTCCTTCTCAGTCCTCCAAAATAAGGTTTTTTTTTTTTTTTTTTTTTTTTTGGTACTGGGGCTTGAACTCAGGGCCTTCACCTTGAGCCACTCCACCAGCCCTGTTTTTTTGTGAAGGGTTTTTTGAGATGATAGGATCTCTTGGAACTATTTGCCTGGGCTGGTTTTGAACTGTGATTCTCCTGATCTCTGCCCCAGTAGCTAGGATTACAGGCATGAGCCACTGGTGCCCAGCTAAGAGCTGGGGTTTTGATTAGGTGAAGTTGCTACCCAGGCTGGGAAAGTCAAGCGTTGTGAGATGGACCTCAGTGAAGACTATGGCTGACTGGAAAGTTTGGAGACCAGAGGCCAGAGGCCAGAATGATGTAGGGCTCAGCCAGGAGGCAGTATTAGCCTGACTAGTCAGTGACCCATAGAGTGAGATCTGAGCATCTCAGTTTGGAAAGGGGTTTTAGGCAAAGATTATGATGTGACTTGGTCTAAAAATGCCTTTCTAGCCCATAGGGTGGATTTCCTCTGTTTGGCTTTTAACCATATAGCTTGGTTTCCTGTTCTTGCTGCCTTCTTAGGTCAATGGGGAGCCTTAGGGCAGGTGTGCATTGATTGATAGAGGCCCTCCTGGAGCACATGAGCAAAGTGTCTGCTTTGTGGGAGGAGGAGTCCTGGAAAGCTCCCACCCTGGGGCAGCTTAAAGGAAGTTGAAGTGTTGAAAACTAAGGCTTGGGCCTGGTCTTGATGGGCAAGGGGAGGAGCTGTGGGCCCTGAGTTGGTGAGCTCTACCTTTCAGAAGGCCAGCCTTTCACTCTGCATACATCATGCCCTTCTGTGAAAAACGGTGTTACTCATATGCTATACCCATGCACAGTGGGGATGGAGGCTGCAGGTCTTAGGACCAGATAAGGGCCAGGTGGGGATCTCATACAGCCCTGACCTTAGGCTTGGTGTCCAGGCAGGGAAAGAGTTGGAGCGATGCCAACAGCAAGCGGCCGAGGTGACCGAAATCATGCTCAACAACTTTGACAAGGTCCTGGAGCGAGATGGGAAGCTGGCAGAACTGGAGCAGCGTTCAGACCAACTCCTGGACATGGTGTGAGGCCCGGGGAGTGGGGAGAGGAAGGAGAGGCTTGGCTCTCAGAGGGAGCTCTCAGGCTGTGCTAAGGGTTTCTAGGCCCTTGGTGGGAGCTAAATCCTGCTCTCAGGCCCATGTAGAACCTCTGGATCTCCTAATATAGCTATGCAATGACTAGGCTTCACAAAGTAAGTGGTTTGAAGCTATGGACTTTCCTAAAAACCAAGGACTGGAATTGTTAACTGGAGATAAGCAGGTAGGGCTAACAGTCAAGGGCTACACCAGTGTCTGAGACCTGAGGGTCCTAGAACAGGGTGAGTGGAGAGAGAGAGTAGACAGGATGGGGAGGATAGAGACCTTGGTGGGGTGGGGCTGGGAGAAGCTGGCTCTGAGGCACTATGGGAACACTATGGGAATTGCTAACTCCCACCCTGTGTCTGGGTGTACTCACAGAGCTCAGCCTTCAGCAAGACAACCAAGACCCTGGCCCAGAAGAAGCGCTGGGAGAACAGCCGCTGCCGAATCTACCTGGGGCTGGCGGTGGCTGGTGGCCTACTCATCCTCCTGATTGTGCTTCTGGCCATCTTTCTACCGCAGAGCAGTGGGGACAGTAGTGCCCCATAGGCCCAGGATTCAGGCACTGTCCTCAGGGACTGGGGACTCATCCAGCTGGGCCTGGGGAAAGGCCAAATGGTTGCACTGGCCTGTTCTGGTCTCCAGAGAACCCTGCTGTTTGCTCCTGTTTGAGCCATCCAGTGAGTGCCAAAGGACAGCCGTGATGTGTATGCCTCTGCATCTCCCATCATGCCACAGACTGGCCCTCTAGGGCAGCCTGCTGTGCTGTACTGGCCAGATCAGGCCAGCCCCATGTGGAGCTCAGTAAAAGCTGCTGTTTGTTTAAAAGTTGGTGTTTGTGTATGAAGGGCCTCGGGTTGGTCCTGTGCCTCCACCCCTCGGCTGTTCAGAAATCCTATGATCCAAAGAACTCCACCCCAAGAGATACCCCTTCCTTTCTTTTTCCTAATTGATCCAATTCTACACAGACCTTTTTGGAGTGTGGTTGCAAGGACACAACAGTCTCCAAACCAGACCATTGAGCCTGCTTCCCTGAAAACATCTTGAGGATGCTCAGAGTCCCAATGGGACTTTAGATGGAAAGACAAAGTACTTCAGAGATGTTTTCATGAGGCTGTCACGTTCAGATACTTTTTCTTCTCTGAATTGTTCCTCCTCCCTAATTTCTCAGCTTAAACCAGTGTTATTCTTTAGACTTTACACCAGATTGCAGATGAGGCAAGTGGAATGAAAGCCAGGAGGCTTCTACAAATGCTGTAATGTAGGGTCACAAAAGTTTGCCCTGTAGGAAAGAATCCAGGTTTTCCAGTGTTCCGGTGCCTTCAGGGCCACAGTAAAGATCACTGGGCAAAGACATGGAAGGAAGAAAGAAGGCCATACCAGGACTGAAAGTAGGGCAGTCTCTACTTGGGCTTAACTGCATTTCAAATTCAAGTGTGAGTGGCAAGGGAAATTCAGGGTCAAGTATGTATTAACAAGTGGTTCCTTGCTAGGTAGAGTGAGGGCTACTGACAGAAACAAGGACAAGTCTTGAAAACTGTGTGAAGCTTTACCCTTTCTAAAGCTTACTTTTTTTTTTTTTTTTTTTTTTGAGACAGGGTCTTGTTATGTAGCCCAGACTGGCTTAGAACTTGCAATTTCCTGCCTTAGCCTCCTGAGTGCTGGGATTATAAAAGTGAACCACCACTCCTGTAAACAAACAAGTTTGTTACTTTCACTGAGTTTATTCCTCTTCTGGGAAAGATGGAGGAAAGCATTTTGCTCTACTAGGTGGGTGAGCAACACTCACTTTGGGTAAGCCACTTCTGAGACTCAGGTTTTACATATGTAAAAAGGGCAGAATAGACCAGGATATTGGTACAGGCCTGTTATCCCCGTACTCTCCGAAGGCTTGAGCCAGCCTGTCTCCAAAGAGAGAAGAAAGACAAGGAAGACAAGACGGACAGAAGGAAGGAAGGAAAGGAAGGAAAGAAAGAAGAAAAAAGGCAGAATGTGGGCTGGGAACGTAGCTCAGTCACAGAGCAAGGGCTCAGCACTGAGTTCAAGACCCTGGGTTCAATCGCCATAAGCAAGCAAGCAAACCCCCCCCCAAAAAAACCCCAGCATTACGATGCTTATTGTGAGAATAATATGTATGTAAATGTAATAATGTGTGTAACGTGTGTCAAATATACATCAATGTAAGCCATTGAGTGCACTGTTTTTCAACCCTATTTCATAGTAGATCACATGCATCATTTATACACACGCCATTGCCAGGTCCCACTGTAGCTCAGTTAAGTATCAGACATGGATGTTTTTTCTTTTTCCTTTCCTCCTCTCCTCCACCTTTTTTTCTTTTGGCAGGTCTATGTAGCCCGGGCTGGCTTTGAACTTGCCATCTTCTTGCCTCAACTAAGGAGTGCTGGGATTACAGGTAGAAGACCAGCCATGGGTGTTATATAGGGAATTCTCTCCTCAGGGAATTCAAATGTAGCCAGGAATGCAAATCACAATAGTTCAAGACACTGGCTTCACAGAAGCTGGGTTGAACAAAGGGTTGAAGGTCACAAAGTCCCAAGAACAGGTAAGGGTTCAGGTTCCAGGGCACAGGCCTTTCCTCTCACTAGGGCAAGTTTGCCACACCCTTTTTTATTTTGTCTAATACGTAAGGAAAGGGCACCCTCTCCCCCTCAACGTAAAATCCAGAACCAACTGGAGGGCGGCGAGCCTGAGGTGCTGGCGGGATCCAGGCTGAGCAGTGGGAAGCGCCGGACTCCAGGCTCGCACAATGCTGAGCCCTTGAGCCAGCAGTTTCCTATCTCTGACAAGCCTCCAACACTTGCACTGCCCAGGCCCTCAGAGACTCATGGTATATCGAGGACCCACCCTTCCAGCTCAGACGCAGGCTGTTCTAGGCACTTGGAGCGCGACCACGCCAGAAACTCCAGGGAATTTACTCTTTCGCAGACTCCGTCGGCGTTAGTCTTTAGTTATCCGACTTATTCCGCCAATGAGAGGCGGCAGAAGCACTACTTCCGCTTTGTGTTTTCGCGAGCCACTAGCCCGCCTCTCGGGTACTCTGATTGGCAGCCCTCTGTCAACGCGCCAGTTTATTGGTCAGCGCCAAGACCAATCCAGCGGGTTCTGAGGCCTGTGTCGGCCGGCCGGCAGCTATGGCGTCGTATTTCGATGAACATGACTGCGAGCCTCTGGAGCCTCAGCGGGAGGCCCGAACCAACATGCTGTTGGAACTCGCAAGGTGGGTGCGTGGGGCTTTGGGTTGGGTCCCAGGCATCAGGTTTCTGAGCTGGGGCTGGCGGGAGAAGGCAGATAATCAGGCAGCAGGTTCTGGGGAGGATGAATAATTTGGTGGGTTAGTCCAGGCGGCGAGATTGGGATTGGTGGGGGTCGGGGAGTGTCGGTAATTTGGACCGTCCGTAGCAGGGCAAGACAAAGGGACTGTGGGAAGGGCTGAATTGGGACGTGTTGGGCGTTGGGGAGGCAGGGCAAAGGTTTCTGGGAGACACGGAAGTGTGTGTGTGTGGGGGGGCTGTCCTGGGTGAGTAAATCTGCTAGCAACGGTACACCGAAGCCCACTGCAGACTTGGAATCTGGCTCATTTCTGCATGGCCTGAGTAACTTCCCTGAGCGTGTTGTCTCATGTGTTAAATGGGAATAAACAAACTGCTGAGTTATCTGTTAACAGCTGGAAACCATGTTCCACCAAGCTTTTTACCCAGTGAGCATCTATTAAGTACAAAGTATAGTGATTACTACTGGCTGCTGCGGTACTTACCTATTAATGCCCAGTGGACTATGGGTGCAAAGAGAATGTATGACTTTCCTTGGTTCTGATCTCATATCCTCCTTCTCAGGTCCCTTTTCAATAGGATGGACTTTGAAGACTTGGGATTGGTAGTAGATTGGGATCACCACCTGCCTCCACCAGCTGCCAAGGCTGTGGTTGAGAACCTCCCTAGGACAGTCATCAGTGGCTCTCAGGCTGGTGAGGGCACTCATTCCTTCTGCTGTTTGGGGCAGGTCTGCCAGACTTGCCCCCTCCCCCAAACCAGACTGTGGGCTGGCCCTTCAGTTTTACAAACCCGGTCTGGGTGCCCTTAGGAGTGGGAGCTGGGAGGTGGGGCCTGGGCAGGTCTTTTGATCAGTACTCCCTCCTCAAGAGCTCAAGTGCCCCGTGTGTCTTTTGGAATTTGAGGAGGAGGAGACTGTCGTTGAGATGCCTTGCCATCACCTTTTCCATTCCAACTGCATTCTGCCCTGGCTGAGCAAGGTACTACTTCCTTCTTTCATCCCTCACCTTGCCCTGGTCCCAGTTTTCAAACTTCTCTCTGGTTATGGACTGTTGGGGGATCAAAGAAGGTCGTGGGTAGGGCAGGGGATTGAGAACAAGGAAGGTTATTAGCTTATGAAGGCCAGACTCTGGCTGGAACATGGCCATACTTTTCCCAGACAAATTCTTGCCCCCTGTGCCGCCTTGAGCTGCCCACTGATGACAACACGTATGAGGAGCACAGGCGAGATAAGGTAGGGGCTGTGGTTGAGTGGAGGGGGGTCATCAAATGGGCCTTGTTAGATCCCATCTCCCCTGCACTCATTCCTCCATCTCAACAGGCTTGGCTAGGTCTTAGAATCCCTGCTTTGGGAGTGGGGCAAGAGCCTAAAGGCATAAAAGGCATAAAAACTCCCTGTCAGCCCCATGACAGCTATCCCATGCCCTTTACCCATGGGTCTTTAAGCTTGGCCCTGCCCAGTGTTCTCTTTCCTCCAGGCTCGAAAGCAGCAGCAGCAGCACCGACTGGAGAACCTCCACGGGGCCATGTACACATGAGGTGGCTAGGGCTGAGCACTCACCCTCTATATCTTCCTCTTGCACTTTGAATCGTCATTAAAGATTTCTTTACTCACCCTGTGGCTGCATTGCTCAGACTTGGACAGAGGCTCTGTACCTCACCAGATCCTGATGCTAATGGGGAAGTTTTTTTTTTTTTTTTGGTGGGACTAGGGTTTGAACTCAGGGCTTCACTTGCAAAGCAGGTACTCTTGCTTGATCCATAACTTCAAGTCCATTTTGTTCTGGTTAATTCCAGTAGATGGAATTTCAAACTATCTGTTCAGGTTGGCCTTAAATCACGATTCTCCTGCTCTCAGCCTCCCAAGTAGCTAGGATTACAGGCATGAGCCACCTTCGTACAGCTGGGAAGATGGTACAAAATGTACCAGGCTGCATTTCCCTCCCTACTAGTCTGTCTGCACTTTAGGCAGTGGGGCCCAGGAAAAGAACCTGGCCACAGGGGCTGGTGGAGGGGCTCAAGTGGTAGAGTACCTGCCTAGTAAGTGTGAGGTTCTGAGTTCAAACTCCAGTACCGCCAAAAAAACAAAAACAAAAAACACCAACCCTGGCCACTGAATCAGCCAGGGCTTGGGCCCATGTGTGTTCATGCTTGGAAGACAAACTGTCAGGGCACAGCACCCTGTAGCTATTTAAAGCTGGTAAACTAACTTGCAACCTCCTCCCCCCTCCCAGCAATTTCTAGTTAACCTTGGAACCTTTGGTTAACCTTAGAATCCTGGGAGTTTAACTACACAGAGAAATTTGTTTTATTTTTAACATTTTAAAGTTGCTCTCTGTACTCACTCCCCCGCCAAGGAATCAAAGTTCAAACCAGACTTTTTTTTTTTTGTGTGTGTGTGGTACTTGAACTCAGGGCCTACACCTTGAGCCACTCCATTAGCCCTTTGTTGTGAAGGGTTTTCTCGAGATAGGGCATTGCAAACTATTTGCCCAGGCTGGCTTTGAATGCTATCCTCCTGATCTCTGCCTCTTTTTTTTTTTTTCTGCCTCTTGAGTAGGTAGGATTACAGGCGTGAGTTACTGGAGTCAACCAGACTCTTGAGTAGGGAAAGGAAGTGAGACTATCAGGCCAGGTCAGTTCTTTACTGCTTAGGCCCAGAAAAGATTCAAGCCCTTGTGGAATAATTGGATGGTACCTGGCATCCTTTGTTCCTGGCAAACTTGCTCTTGAAGAGCAGTGAACACTCAGTTCTTCTGGAGGCAGGGGCTTCCTCCCATCCCTTGCTTTTAAAGTGGTCTTGGATTAGACCCTCTCTGACTCTCCAGAATAGACTACAAACATGCAAATTAGAATTCTTTTAATAGATATAAAAAAAGTACTAAAATACCCACGTGGTTCTGCTGTATTATTTGCCCTAAAGGAAGTGAGGGGCAGAGTGAAGAATCCCAGTGCAGCTCAGTGGGTCTTCCCCTAGGCTAAGGCATGCCTCCCCCCCCACCCAGACTTGTATCCCCCTTGCTGTTCCCAGCCCCAATTCCTGCAGCAGGAAACCCCAGTGTTCTGGCTCTGGCACTGGGAGTAGAAGGCACCTGAAGGGCTGGCTGGGTGAGTGAGGGCAGGTGACCTTTAAACACAAAACAATACTGTGGTGCAGGGGAGCAGGACTTGGAGCTGAGGCAGCTGGCAGGGCCTGCTCCTGTATGGCACAGGTGGATGTGGGATGGCCACTTCTCTAGGAGTGAGGAAGCCCAGATCCCAACAGAATACTTTCTAAAAATTGTTTTTGGTACAAAATAAATGCAAAGAAGATAAGGTGTGGGGTGCTGCGGAGGCCGGGCCAGCCACCCTCCAGACCTCAGATCATGGCGATGCTCTCAGGGGCACAGTTGAGGTGTGTGGAGGTGCTGCTACTCCCGGAGGACTTGCATGCCCGGCCAGAGGCAGGCTGCAGTGCAGCCACCAGTGTGTCTGAGGAGATCGCCCCAAATTCATAACTGAAGGTACCATAGAAAATGAGGATGTCGATGACGAACACCCACTCACACAGGGCTGCCCCATGCTGTAGCTGAGAACTCTCATGGACAAAGAAGACACCGCCTGGAGCAGAGCTAAGGAAATGTTCAGTAGGATGAGCAAGAACCTGGCAACACCCATTCCTTGATCCCAGACATTTAGCTAGGCTGGGGCAAAGAATCAGGCTTCCTAGTAGGGAGAAGACCACATGGGTGGTGTTTGCCGGCATCTAGGTCTTACCCTGCATCTGGAGTGGGAGAAGGGCTGAGCTAGAGTATGAGTTCCTGACTCCTTGTCCCAGAAGGATACTAAGGACCAGAGTGATGAAGGCGATGACAGCCAGCACACTTCGCAGGTAGGCCATAGCCAGGTCCAGTGGGGCAGTGGCTCCATGGTAGGAGAGAGCACAGTGCAGGCAGACAAAGAGCAGCCCCGCAGGGAAGGCCACACCAGCGCCAATGTAGTGCAGAGACTTGGCATGATCCACCTGGCCCAGACAGGGGGGCAAATCTGAATCAGCCCGCCTCGCCATTATTTGTCTCTTTATCTTCCTTCTCCCTTCTTTGCCTCCCAGTCCCTCTTACCTCCACCCCTAACCATGAGGTACTGCCCCTGCAGGCAGCCAGTCCCCACTAGGGGACAGTGAAGGGATAAGTGGGGGAGCACCTGAAAGTTGCCGACCACTACGAGGCCTGCTGCATTAGTGCAGCCTGTGATGAGTGCCGTGGTGTTAACCCAGGAGTGCCGGCTCTGCTCCAGGAGCTGCCCGTACCGAAGGATGCAGATCAAGGCCACTGAGGGAGAAAAGCATGGCTAGGGCCTGCTGGACACCTTCCTCCAACCCCTCCCAGCTTCCTACAGGCTCACGTGCTTCTGCCCCTTCTAAGGGCTGGAAGGGAATGGATAGCAAGTTTCCTCAGGCTTGGGACCCCCCAACTGTGTGGGAGTCAGCATTTAGCCTTCAAGGAACAGAAAAGAAGTTGCCCCTCTTGCCTTAAACCTTGGTAGGAGAGCTGTTTGGAGCAGGGGCTTCTGGGCCTTTCTGGGTAGGGGTGTGTGTGTGGGGGGACTGGGCCTGAGAGGCAGGGCTGAGGGTATAACTCACCCATTAAAGCACCCACGTTGCCAATGAGGCTGAAGAGGCAGCTCTCAGGGGGATACGTCCCGCACTTGCTGAGGGGAGGGTGAGGACAGTGAGGCAGGAGCACCAGCGGGCCCCCATTCTGGCTCCTGTTCTATTTGTGCCTGTTCCTCAGCAGGCAAACCACTGATTTACGAGAAGGGTCAGGGTCTCTCATGAACAACTGGCTCCATGCTGAGCCCCACCAGCAGAACTTATGTGTGGAAGAGATAAGGGACTGCCTGGAGCACTTGGCAGACCCAAGATTCCTTGCTGAGGCTTGCAGCTGGTCTGGATTTCCTTGAACCAGAACTTGGGCTGGTTAATTAAAGGGCTTGAGCTTAAATCCAGGTGCCTTCACTTACTAGCTGCGTGATCTGGGCCACTAACTCTGAGCCTTAGTTTTCTCACCTATAAAATGGGGACAACAATAGCAGCTTCCCTGCTGGGAGGATTACAAGAGACTACAAATAAAGCCCTCAGCAGAGTGCCTAGCTCCTAGTAACTGGTAAAGTAGTATTGTTACTAAGTGGTTCTTAGTATAATGATTATTCCTGAGACCTAGGGACAGTCCTTTGCTTGAGGGACTTTCTAGAAGTCTGGGAGGACCTGGGGTCTCCTGGGCCTGCCCAATTTTCAAGACCTACCTAATGAGGGGGACATCATCCAGGGTGCAGCAGGTCTTTGGGCCCCCTTGTTCAGCAGGGTCAGGAGAACAGGACTCATTATAGGACCTGGCAGGCAGGACACAGAGTAGACTCGGGGAAGTAGACGCCCCAGGCCTTTTGCCTGTGGCCTCAGGCTTAAAGAGGTCCCTCTCCCAAACCTCCCCAGTAGGGCATAGGAGCCCACTCCCCAGGGCCTGCCTGAAATACAACAGATAAGTGAAGGAAGTAGGTAGATGGGCAGGAAGCCATGCCTAGGGACCAATGTCAGAGAAGAGCAGTGAGGCCCAGAGTCTCCATCTGGCTCTTAGCAGTCGAGGGCCCAGGAGGGGGACAGAGATGAAGGGAGCAGAGTGAGGCTATGTGCAGAGAGCGCCATACCAGTTCTCCACGGGACACACGTGGCGGTTCATCACGGCCATGGCATACCTGCAAAAGAACTGTCACCCTGCCTCCATGGCCCTCCTGGCCCAGCACCCCCTTCTGAATGAAGCTGGCCTCATTCAGCTTCACTGTCCTTGCTGGGGACTCAAGTTGGGGAGGGGTGAGTCTTGATGCTACATGAGAGCCTGCAGCATAGTTCCCAACTAGAGGCCCTCTGGAAGTTGCCCTGGTTAGAAGTATGTCTGTCAGGGCTGTCCTGCTGGACAGCAGTGGTGCCAGCTTGTCCCAAGGGGCTGTTTGCCTAGGCACCAGGCCAGGCTTTGGAGACAGCCAGAGTGACCATGGGTACCACCCTGGAGCCTACAACAGGACAAGGGACTTTGTGTGTGCCATCAAGCTCCTGTTGCCCACTCCGCCCCCCACCCTCCACACACCCCTTTTACTCACACAGTCCATATGCCAGTGATGGAGAATGCTGACAGGCTGACAGGAAGGAGGATCCAGGCGGTCATGAGGGAGGGGAGCCAGGGTGGTGGTGTGGGGGGGAGGACAACAGGTAGGTGGGGAAGAGGGGGTGGGCCCAGCTACCTTGAGATATTTCCGCCACAACCATCAGCTGCCCTGGCCTGGTGGGGAAGAGAGATCAAGGTCCAGGGTCTGGTGACTGGACAAGGCAGGGGAAGAGGGGGAGGGGAAGGTGGTTAACACCTTATCCAGAGCTCCCCTTCAGCTTGTAAGCATCCAAACTTTGGGCTGAGTCCACGCCAGAACGTGGACACCCCCTGGCATCCATCTGGGGCCTCCATGATCATCCCAAATGCCACAGGCGTTCTGAGGGACTCAGGCGGGGCTGTAACATCTGGAATGGGAGCCACCCTCCCTCGCCCGAGGGACACGGGGTTGGGGAAGGCTGGAGGTAGGACAACCAAGGGGGCGAAACCAAGAAAAGCCTGGGAGGGTGTGCTGGGCTGGGGGAGCGGCCGCGAGGCGTAGGCGTGCAGGCAACCACCTGACCATAGAGCCCTGGCCAAGGGGCGGGTTCTCGCTAGAAACCCGACTGGGTCCCCGCCCGCGTGGGTGCGGGGACCCCCGACTTGGGCAGGAGCGCGCAGTTGGTGACACCTCCCTCCTCCCCCAAGAACCGAGAATCCAAGGCCCCCCAGATGATTTCTGAAGGCCCTCGGAAAAGGAAACAGCTCAGTACCCACCTCCCCGGAGCGCCCCGCTGCAGCCGCACCTTGCTTGGCCCCCTCGTGGCGCGGTCTCTGGCTGCGGCCCTCGGAGCAGCCCTGAAAGGTTTAAAGGGCCGAGCGGCCCCGCCCCTGGCGGCCCCTGGCCGCGCCGCGTCGCCCGCCGGGACGTGGAGTCCGCGCAGCCCCGGCCCCTGCGCCCGCGCCCCGCCCGAGACTACAACTCCCGAGCCCCCGCGTCCGCGTCACGGGGGAGACGTGGGCGGTGCCCCAACTTCGGAGGACCTGGGCGCGTAGGGCTGTGGCGTGGGGACCTCTGACGCCGGGAGCCCGAGAGGATTGTTTCGTTCACCGTTCCTGCGGTAGGAGAGCGGGGAGGCCGCGGCTGGCCAGCCTTCCAGCTCCACCTGTGATGTTGTCATCTTGCTTGTGGCTGGAGAAATCCTCCCTCAGCTGCCGTGCATTTTTCGGCTTGGGCCAGAAGACAGTGACATCGGGGCGGGGGGAATCTCTCTTGTGTGGCTCTCAGTGCTTGTCTCTGGCCTTGGCGTGAGGCAAGTCCGCAGAGAAGCGAGCGCAAAACCTTTCCTTAAAAAATCCTAGCGCTCTGGATTTGGTTTATGCTTCCCCCGGCTCAGCAAACATTGGAAGACTGCTTTCATCATACTTTTTATTTTCGGGCATAGAAGAACACAGAGTACTGGCCAGAAGTCACTGTATCCAAGATGTTTTCCGACTGATCAACACTGATTTGAAATGAGGCGGTAGAGGCCAAAGACTATCCACTCTAAACACATGTGTGTGCAGGTGTAGGGTAGATAAGGATTAACATGGTCAACTGTTGATAAGCAGACGGGAAGGTGAGAGACCCAGAGATATCAGGGGAAAGGACAGGATTGTGTGGGAATAAATTATCATTAGCCTCACCAAAATTTATCAGCCAAGAGTACACTCCTGGACATTCTTTACATGATTGAAAAGGCAAGAGTCTTCTTTCACATACCAGAAATGTCCTGGCTCTGCCCAAAAGGTATCCCAGTACGTGTTGGTGATAGGCGGATTATTATCCCCAGGGTACATGGCCTCAGGGTGTTAGGAGTGGGAGATGGCCACACTGATAAGGCCAATGTTATATGCAGAAATGGCCCTGGACTGTAGAGAATGAGCAGGATAGCTGCACCCTGGTGTGAGGAGGGAGAAACCCTTTGGACCTGATGGAAAGTATACAGGGAACAGGGAAGGCCTGTTCCAGAGCTCCTTTCTCACTAACATCAGACTACTACAGCACATGGCTGTAATGATTGCTGTACAATACCTGGTTGAATGGACCAGAAGGCAAAAAACCCAGTTCACCTTGAACTTGGGGACAGAGGTCCCTCTTTCTAAATCACACTGAGGCACCATCTTTCTGCCCAGCTGCAGTCCCACCTAAGCAGGTCTTTCTGCCCAAAGGGGTTGTGAGTCCTCATTGTGGTTCTTTTCAGACTGGGTCTCACTAAGTAGCCCAGACTACCCTTGAACTCTTGTTTCTACCTCCCACGTCCTGAGATTACAGGTTGTGTGCCACTATATCTGGCTTGCTTTGTGGCTCTTAATCAACACTTACTATATTCTATTGAGCTGGGGTTGTGTCCCTGACCATTCATCAGGGTGAAGTCCTAAAAAGACTCCTCAGGTTCAAATGGCTATTCTAACATGTAGAGGTAAGGTATTAGCACTTCAGAACTATGACATTGGAAACACTTTTAGGCTTACTATAACAATCTGAATAGTTCCTAAAATAGAGTTACTCTAAGATAGAGCTCCCTATGACAGGGAATCCAGGCTATGGGTACTTGAGGGGAGTCATGTATCAGGTAAGTGGGACCAGTTATCTTTAAAAATCCCTTCCAAAACTAATGGTACATGAATGTAGCTGTTATGCTCCAACCAGGACAGCTCTTAAAATAGGTACAGCAAAGAGATGAGATTTCCACTGCTAAGTCTGTGATGGAATGACTTTATGGCAGGCATTTAATTTCCACTTCCCTGTGTACACAAGTGATTTCACAACTCTTGGCAAAAACAAGGCTGTAAAAATAGTAAGTTTATTGGTTACAAAAAGTACTGTATTTGAAAAGTACCTTCCTTCTATGATTTTCAAATAATCTGTACACTTCATTTTACTCATCCACACACAGAAACATTGAAAATGAAGAAAAAGAATGTATGGATTTTTTGTACATTTAGCACCTGACACAGTCTGTTGTTTGTTGGCTCTGGGAAGGAAGAGGAGCTATCTACTAGGAAGTTGTCACTCCAATGTCTAGAAATTATGGGGTGGGTGCTTGTGGCTTCTTGCCCATGTGATTCCTAAGGGGACAGGAGTTCAGAGGAGTTAAAATGCTTCACATAATTGTCAGCATTCCATGGTGAATTTCCCAAAGGCTCAGAGGTAGGAAAGTAATATGTCCTTACTTCTTTTTCTAATGCAAAGGCCTCAATTTGCACCATCTGGGGATCCACTGCCCTGCCATTCATGTAGTCTGCCAAATGCACAGCACGTTAGATACTTACCACCCCAGAGGGCTTCCTCCCATCTGCATGGGCTAGTGTCTAGTTGGCAGTGCCTCTCAGAGAGGACCATGGAGATGACATGTCCCTTTCAGAGAGGCTCTTCAATGCCCACACTGAGCCCACTGGCTGCATGTGCCGCTGAAGCTCCCATTTTCTTACCTATATAGAGCTTTACATTCTTTTCCCTTCTTCAAAGACTTCCATCTTTGCCAGTGGACTACAACTCAAGCTTTAGTGTTAACTCTCCTATAGCCCAAGACCCCTGAAAAATAGCTTCCTCACGTCAGTAATATAACCTGCTGTGGCCCAGGAAACCCAAAACTACAGGCTTAAGTCTAGTCACTCAACAATCCATATTGAATGGGCATAAGATATGCCTATCATTTTTTTTAAAGATAGTCAAGAACATATCTAGTCAAATGAGTGTTGATTCTGAAGCAGCCTGCTGGAAGTTTCACCTAGTCCAACACTACTGTGGCAGTAGCCACTGTGCCACACAGCAAAGGGCAGTCCTCTTTGAGACATCTCCAGAGCCTGTAAGAAATGCTCTGGACATGCTCCTTAATGGCAAAGCACTAATTGTTTAAATAGTTAAGAGATGTCTGACTCTGGGAAGTCTGGCAAATATGCTGGCTAGTACCATCTCAGACCCCAGCAAGCAGTGAGGCTGAACTGTAAGGCTGAAGACCATACTCAAAGAGGCATTTCAGACACACCTGAAGAAACAGCAGCATCAGCTTCAACGGGCCAGCCCTGAAGGACTACCTGACATTTGAGTACAAGGCTTAGTGCTTTATTTAGTCAGACTGCATAAACTAGTTAAGAATTAAGAGTGCTTTTTGGGTAGAAAATATATGCACTCAATAACAAAATGCATCAAGAAAAATGTTTTAACAGTAAGGAGTTTCCAAAGAGGATCTTTTGTGAGGATAACACAACACATAAAAGGACACAACAGGTTCATACTAAATGCTGCCTTTTACTTTTTTACCTTCTCAAGAAACAAACAGCAACTATAAGAAGCCAAAACACTCCAGTGAAATCCAATGTTCCAAGTCATAAAACTGGTTGAAGAGCTGGACTAAAAGGACTGGTCCTCTGTCCTGCAGCATGAAGGGGATAGAATTTGGCAGCGCCTCCTTGGCCCAGGAGGCTTTGGAGGGTAGTTAACAGTGCAAGTCCAAAGGCACTTCTAGAATAGTTGCATAAGTAGAGGGCAAAGACTTTCTCCTTGAAAGCAGAACTAAGCCCAGGATTGGCAAGTGTAAGGCACTTAACCTTGGGCCAGATCTGGGGTCTGGAGCACTCTGCTCCATGGCTGTCTTTATAACCAGGCCCTTCTAATTTACCACCTCACTTGTGGTTCCAGCATTCCTCTGAAAACTCAAGCTGACTCAGAGTTTAATGTTTTAATGGCACAGTTGAAGTAGCTGTTTTGCTTGACCCATTTCTGGAGGGTCTGTTTTCAGGGGTGCAAGAAACAAATCAATTGAGCTCTCAATGTTAAGAGAAAAGCTGGGGGTGGGAAAAAAAAACTTAAAATAGCTGCTGAGGTGTAGTTGCCAGGCTGATCTTGAGACTCATTTAGATATAGAGAAACCTTTGGGGCAGGGGGCTTAAGTCTCAGTGTTTATATTTCAAATCACTGAGGTTTAGGCTTATTTGCTAGAAAACTGAAGTGCTTTGTAACTCTGGTGCACAGGATGTCTTGTGGACTTCAGACCTTAGCCTAACCCAGTGTTAGAAAAAAATGTTCCCTAGGTAAAAGCAGTACTATTGCTGGGATTTTTTTTTTTTTTTTTTGCGACAGAATCTCACTATGTAGCCCAGGCTGGCCTCAAACTCGTGCTTCTCCTGCCTCCCAAGCGTTGGGATTACAGGTGTATGCCACCACGTCTGGCTCTTTACCCTAAGGATCTGAGTTATAGACTCTTGGGAAGTGGGAAAGGGGAAAACATGGGGTGAAGGAGGGGGCAGCCAAGATGGCTCACTTCACTTCTAGGGTATTGTTCAGGATATTTTTTGCAACTGGGATTTTCTTTTTGGTTTGAACTCAGGGCTTTGCATTTGACAGGCAGGCCTCTACCACTTGCGCTATCCCATCAGTCCTGCAACTAGGGTTTCAAACAGACAATTATTGCTAATGTGGAGTTTCTCTTGGTATGTATGTTCAAAACTGTTATGTCACAATTGAAGAGTCAGTTTGAAGCTTGTTTTGATAATTCCCCTTTAGTCTAAGCAGAGGATAGTCTGTTCAGAGGACAGCTAGGGATGAAATCAAAAGCTAGAACTATGCAGTCCTAGCTAAGGTAGGTTTTGCTGCAGTCGTCTAGTTTGGCTCCAGCAACTTCTATCTAGACAGAGAGGCCTCCAATCTAGACAACGCAAAGCAGGGAGCATACAAACAACTTGGAAAAGCCATGGAAGGGGAAGAAGGCATGCTTCCAAGTAGGCCTCAAAAACAAGAGTTCTCCCATTTTATTGGTATCAGAATTACTTGGGAGAACTCATTGGAAAGGCAAGATTCCAGGACACCCTCCCCCCCTTCCAAAGTCCTGAGCAGAGGAGGTGCAGTCATGTTGGGGCGTGAAGAACTGATGGATTCTACCTGAGGCAAAAAGGATGAGAAAAAGGAAAGAACAAAGTAAGAGAACTGGAGGGGGGGGTGTCATCTAGGAAAACACAAAAGCGAGCAGAAATATGAAAGACCCATAAAATAACAAACATGGGTCATGGAGTGGTCAGGCAGATGACCTCAGCGAGAAGGCAGCATGTTGGTAAAAGGTTTCATAAACCCTGGTTATTCCTAAAGTCTTGCTTCCAGCATATCAAGTTAGCGTAACAAAATTCTCAAAATTTCAGATTAGACTGGGTAAATGGGCCAACATACAAGGAAGAATGGTTGTCAGGGAGATGTTGTCCTGCAACACCCTTGTGGATATAGCAGCTCTGGGGTCTCAAGGTCAGGTAGTCTGATCCTGGCACCCCCAAACCAGGAGTGAGCTCCCAGGGAAGAATTCTTCAAAGTACAGTGAATCCAATCTGGTTAGTGTTGGCTCTGGCGCTTTGCAATCTCCTCTTGGATACGTAACTTGAGGGCCTCTCGCATGGGTGGATCCAGAGGTGTGTGTGCTGACACCTCTTCACTCACCTTTCCTGGGTCATCGTCCTATGTGGAAGAAGAGTCAGGAAGCTCAGGGCCTGGTCTCTTGGAAAGGTGACTGTCCCTGTCCCTAGACAATAGCTTCACAGAACTCTGTTTGGCTCACAGCTTCTTGCCAGGTGTTCCCTGTAACAGTTGATTCTCAACTGGGGTTACAAGTCCTCCCCATTACCCCAAGAATCACTGTGTGACAGGACTGAGTTGTCCTCAAAAGCATAACTGGGAAGTCCTTTGCTCTCATGTAGAGCAGATGCTTCCCACTGGCCCAGAGGTAACTGTAGCTCTGGGTTTTTTGACAGTGATTTTTAGCACGGCCCAGGACCTTCGGGATGCAGCTGTTTTCACAAGGCATACCTGATATACGATAACTGATGTGACCTCTCCACTGTCCGCCTCATATTCTAAGCAGAAGAGCTGACGGCCAGAAGGCTCCAGCTCCGAGCTGCCACTACTGCTGCTATCACCGGACTCCTCACAGTCTGGGTTGGCTGGGTGGGTAGAGGCATCTGGAAGGATGAACCAGAGTGAGAGGGAAGAGGGGGATACTGCTGCTACCACTACCCACAGAGCTGATTCAGGAAGACTTACTATAATCTTGTGACAGTGTGTATGTGTGTGTGTGAGTTTTGGTGTGCTGCCAGTCAGGAGTTTTACCTCCTTTTGGATCCCTGCTCTGGGGCCAGCACGTCCTGTCACAAAGTAGGTACACAATGTACATTTCTCCAGCAAATAGAACTGCAAACTAGTTATCTGTCTGGGTTCAAATCTAGACTCTGCCATTTACTAGGTCTGAGATCTTGGGCTTGTTATTTAAACTCTCTATGTCTACTGTGGAACTGTGAAACAGTCATTGTGTCCTGTAGACTCAATGAACTAAAATACAAAATCTAAAAGCGTTATAAATAAGACTTAACAAACTTGGTGTCACATATGAGTTACTGAGGTTTCTAAGTCGCAGGGAGGGCTGGTCGCTTACATCCGAGCCAGGCCTTCTCTCTGCTACGTAGAATACTATTTTACAGCAGGGTGGAACAAGCTGGTAAATAAAAGCTTCCTCTGTAATCGTGATGCTTAACTGAGGGCCACGAGCCCACCCAGTCGTCACGGCGGAAGCACTGAGCGTAGATTTGGGCGCGTCGAGGTGGAGCTTTGGGAAGTGACGGGTGGGCGGAGCCTGGGGGCTGAGAAGCGGGGTCTCCCTATAGAGAAGGGCAGTGCGCCGCAGAAGAGCGCGCGGGCTTGGGAGGCAGGCAGGGCGGCATCTCACCTCGGTGCCGGGGCAGATACACCTGCTGGTCGGGCTTGCGGGGCCGCGTTGGCGCGGGTGTGTGCCGCCTCCTCGCCTTCTCCTTGGCCGCCTGTTTCACCTTCTTGTCGTAGTCGTCCCTGCGGGGAGCCGAGCGGGAGTGAGGAACGGCCGGGCCGGGCCAGACCAGGCCAGGGGTGGCTGCAGCAGGGCGGGGTGGTACCGAGCGATCTGGTTCCGACGTATATGGTGCACGAAGCCGTGGCTCATGTCCAGCCGCCCGCCAGGTTTACAACAGAGCCCAGGCCCGGGATCCGGCGCCGCCTCCATCTGCAGTCCTGGGCGCAAAACCACCTCCTCTTCAACCGTCCCAACGGTCGCTTCCCGCAGGGACCCCCGGTAGCTGCTCGGACAGCTTCCGGCTCTGAAACCCAACTTCCGGTCCTGAATCCCGACTTCCGGTCGTAGGAGAGCTGGCTGGGCCGAGCATCGCTCCGCGCGGAGTTTGCGGCGCGGATGGAGTTGGGCATAGTTGGCGGGGCTTTTTTTTTTTTTTTGTGATCCTGTCAATGGGAAACAAGGACTCCAGGTTGCAACTGATACAGTTTTCTGATATATCACAAAACTAAAAAATGCAAACCAACTATAAACACCCACTAACCCATATTTTTTTTTGCGTATGTGATACTGTGAAACTTCATTACCTCTTCGTGACTTGGCTGACTCTTTAGCCCCGCTGTGCCTCAGTTTCCTTATTTGTAAGTGGAGACACTGACAGCATTTATCTCAAGTCGTGAAGCAGCAAAGTGCTCGGGTCGGGCACACTAGAGCCTCGGCAGCCTGGCTCTGCGAAGGCTCTCCCAGCCCATCTCCCACCCAGTCCCGCAGGGTCCCTGGTGACTTGGTCGCTCACTGCACACTGGGCTTGACTGTCCCACAGGAGGAGTCAGGATTTTTGAGAATCTTGAGCGTGTATAACTTTCGATTCCTCATTTAAAAAAGTCAAAATCAGGAGTTCACGATTAGAGCAGGGACAAGAAGTGGAACGTCCACGCGATGGAATACCACAGTGCAAGGCACGCAGTCAGAATTTAGCAAACCGTACATGTAAAACGTGCAGTATCCTCTGTGCCAATTAAATATCAATTGGAACTGTTCAAACAAACAGGCTGGGGCTGTAGAGCCTGTACTTAGTTTGTGGGGCCTGGGTTTAATCAGATCCCCAGACCTCCCAACCTCCAAACATGCAGACAAGTTCAAAGCTTGCTCTGAATTTGGAGCTTTTCTTTTTTTTTCTTCTTAAAGCTTCATGGTAAATGATCCTCGGCAGGGCATTTTCCTGATATCAAAATCTCTCTCAATGTGGAATTAAAGCACGAAGGGGATAATTTGGGGATACTGTTTCCTTTTCTTTGTGCAGAATCGTCAGTCTCCAGGCGAGGAAGAGACATATACCCAATTGTGGCTTCTAAACGTGGGTCGAATGATACAACTTCCTTTATCCAGGAAACATCGTTTTGGGTAAAAGGCTCCTATCTCTTTAAGTTGGGAAGAAATAAGTCGGTAAAGAGGCAGTAGACCGTGCACAGTTAGTTCCCGTAGATTTGCTGCGCGAATTGTCCTGACTGGCGACTCGTAGAGAGCTTTGGGCTTGCTACTTCCTCCGCTCCTGATTGGCTGCGCGCCGCGCGCTCAAGCGTGCTTGGCGCCTGCGCTGGATCGCTCCACCGGTAGTGGCGATGTCCAGCCGGTCTAAGCGGGAGTCTCGTGGTTCCACCCGCGGGAAGCGCGAATCCGAGTCCCGAGGCAGCTCGGGTCGCGTGAAGCGGGAGCGGGACCGGGAGCCCGAGGCGGCAAGCACCCGGGGCAGCCCGGTGCGCGTGAAGCGGGAGGTCGAGCCGGGGAGCGTGCGGGAGGCCCCGGCGCCCGCAGTCCCGGCTGTGCGTGTGAAGCGGGAGCGCGAGGCCGACGAGGACTCGGAACCCGAGAGGGAGGTGCGAGGTGCGCGAGGGCGGGCCACTTTCACATCCTATATTTTTTTTAAACCTTTTTCTAACTTTCCTGTACTTCCCGCCTGGGGGTGGTGGGAGCGGAATGGAATACATCGGTACTAGTGTTGAACGACCTTGGTCATAATAAACAGCAACAGCAGCTTCCCTTTTATACAGTGCCCAACGTGGGCCAGGCGCGGTGCTAATGACTGTACAGATGTCAGCTAAGTTTTACAAAACTCCTAAGGTGTGGGGTCCTGATGTAATTCCTGGAATCAGGCTCTTCTGCCGAGAGCCTGAGCCCTGGATACCTGACGAAAGTACTAAGGACCAGCTCGGTATAGGAGACCACTCTCCGTTGATCTCTCCTGGTTTTTGCACATACTGTGGCAAGAGGCTGTCTTTGCTCCGCAGTGTTTTCAAGGATGTTGGCATAGTGATCTGACAACCTTAGAAGACAGATGTTACAAGAGCAAAAGGTGGGCAAGCTTACAACCAGTTCTGAAAGATTCAGGTTCGCTAAGCCCGGGATTCGTCAGTAATGAAACCCATTATGGCCATAGGTTCTCTTGAGGAATTGACTCAACTGACAGCAATGCTATATTCTGGCAACTGTTATTGTTGTAATAAACTGTCCTTTGTTTTAGACCCAGTGGTTGCATGCCTTCCATTAGCATCCATGAAACTGTGGCAGGCTAACTAGTTTGCAAATAGGGTAAAATCTCAGAGCTTTTACAGTTCTTGAACAACTGTTAGATGTAAGGATGTACAGTTTATCTTAGCATTTGTGATATATTTTATAGCATCTTTCATGCCTCCTTGGATTCCTTTATGTGAATGAATCTTGATGATATATATTTAACAGATACAGTCTCCCAGTTTGTGGCTTGTTCTATTAGTGGACTTATTTGGGATGTTGTTGCCATCTAAAAAATGTGACACTCACCGTCAGATTTTTCTCATTTTCATGTCTTCCCTCACTATTGGAGTTTGAACTCAGGGCTTTGAACTTGATAGGCAGACAGGTAGGTACTCTACCACTTGAGCCATGCCACCAGCTCTCCCATGTCTGTTTTTGATCTGATAGTTGACCCTGAGTACAGGTTTCCCATTTTCAAAGTCTGTGATGATTTTTTTCCTTTCAGCAAAGAATGGCCGTGTTGATTCTGAGGACCGGAGGAGCCGCCACTGCCCATATCTGGATACCATTAACAGGTTAGTAGGATAAAGATGCCCAGGATAGTAAAAGAAGAAGGGACTCTTTGCTGAAATTTCTTTGGACCACACATTGAACACATTCACAGATTTTACTTCTTTTAACTTTCTGCTCAGACACTTGTGCTTCTTGCCATGCTCATTATTTATTTGTTTGGTTTTTTTTTTTTGTTTTTGAGACAGAGTCTGCTATGGCTGGCCTTGCATTTGATGGGTAGCCCAGGCTAGGCTTGAACTCACAATCCTACCTCAGCCTACCAAGTGCTGGGATTACAGGATTACAGATATGCACGGCCAAGCTGAGCTCTTTTGCCATGTTTATTTTTAATTTTTTTTATTATTCATTTATTCACATATACGTACATGTTTGGTCATTTCTCCCTTATTTTTAACTTTTTTAAATTCTTTTTTCCCCTGGTACTGGGGATTGATCCCAGGGTTTTCAGAATGCTAGGCAAGAGCTCTCCCACTTGAGCCACACCTCTAGCCCTTTTTCCTCTTGTTACTTTGAAGATAGGGTCTTGCTTTTTGCCAGGCTGGCCTGGATTGTGATCATCCTATTTTATACTTCCTGACATCGCTGTGATGACAGGAGTGTGCTCACCATGTCCAGCTTTTTTCCATTGAAATGGAGTCTTGCAAACTTTTTTTGCCCAGCTGGCCTTGAACTGCAATTCTCCTGATCTCAGCCCCCCAAGTAGCATGGGATGACAGGTGTGTACCACTGTGCCCAGGTATTGGCCAAGATCTCACTAACATTTTGCCTTGGCTGGCTTTGAACTACTATCTTCCTGATCTCAGCCTCCCAAGCAGCTAGTATTACAGGCGTGAGCTACTGGCACCTGCTGTATTTTGTTTTTGAGATAGGGGCTCCATAAGTTTTTCCTTGCTGGCCTTGAACTGGAGATGCTCCTGCCTCTGCTTCCTGAGTAGCTGAGATTACAGGTGTGCACCACCACATCTAGTTGTCTTGCCATATTTGTTAAAGTGGCAGAGTGTATGTACTAAAAGTGTCAAAGTACATATTGTTTAAGGGTGGGTGTATACATAAGGACCTTTTAGCTCATTCTAAATTTCTGTTTTGGAAAAGAGGATACATAATGTACTTAAAATAACAGTAGCAAACTTAAATGTATTTTGAGTATCCACTATGCACTATTCTAGATGCCTAGGATTCAGCAGAAATAAACACAAAAACTTGTTCTAAAGTAGAGAGTTACTTTATCCTGGTGTTCCTTTCTCTGGCTCTCTGATAGCCTGTTTTAATGTTTTTAGACGCATGTTTTAGGTAGCCCTGTCCAATAGAACTTTCTGCAGTAAGACTTGCTCTTTATAAGGGCTGTTCATTACAGTAGGCACAAGCCACGTGTGACCCTTGAGTAATTACATCATGGCTTGTGTAACAATCCATTCCAGGGTATGCATACTAGGCACGTGCTCTATCACTGTTCCATATTTCCAGCCCAGGAACTGAATTTAAAATTTTAATTTTAATTATTTAAAATTTAGTTGCTAATAACCATGTTATTAGTGGCCTCTTAATTAGACAGTGCTACTGTCTATTTGATTAATCATTTCCAATTGATTAAGAGCTAATATTGGAGAAGAAAGCCCTTTGTCAAATGTGAATGCAGTGTAGGTAAAAGTTTTTTGTCCCTTTCTGCCCAGTACTCACATACTGTTACTTTAATAAATAGATCTAGTTGTAGGTAGTCCCCTAAGATTCTTCAGATTTCCCACTTGTTTTTGTGGACAAAAGTAAATTTTCTTTTTTATAAAAGTGAATATTTACACTTTTTATGTCCTTCCACCAGTCATAATGCTGTTGGAGTCCTTTTACATAAGTTCGACTTGTAGCTTTGCCTTCAAAGAAAATGACTGTCATGGAACATCCTTGACAGGTTACAAATACAACTGTCTCTTGGTATCCATGGGGGTTGGTACCATGAGCCCTTCCCCCACATCAAAATCTGCGTTCTCAAGTTCCTTACCTACAGTGACGTAGTATTTGCGTATAAGCTCTGCATATCGTCCTGTATACTTAAAATCATCTTCAGGTGATGTCAGTGCTATATAATTGTCAATGCTATATAAGTAGTTGTCATGCTATATTGGTTAGGAAATAATGACAAAAAAAGTCTGTATTTGTTTAGTACAGATGGAGTTAATTTTTTTTCCCCCAAAATATGTTTGATCTGTGGTTGGTTGAGTCTACCCATGTAGAACCCATAGTAAATATAAACTTTCATTTAATGAGAAAGAGGGTCAAGGACATTGTGTGGTGCAGATACTGCTTAGAGGTGTGGGTGGAGGTGGAAAGTAATTAAAGCTTGCCATGGTTTATATGTGGTTGTTGAATTTCTCTGAAAGATACTGTGTGATATTGTGGGACATGGAGTCAACATTGCTTCATTTAGATGCCCTCTTAGATATCTGTCCCTATTGAGAGTGTGTGTGTGTGTTTTAAAATATGTTATTTTGGTTCTTTTAGGAGTGTGCTGGACTTTGACTTTGAGAAACTGTGTTCTATTTCCCTCTCACATATCAATGCATATGCCTGTCTGGTGTGTGGCAAGTACTTTCAAGGTAAATAAATATTATTAATTATAAACCTGTTTTCAGAGCTTTCTGCAGATCGAGTCTCCCTCCTTCCCTTCCTCCTTTCTTTCCTCCCTTCTTCCTTCCCTCCCTCACTTCCTCTCTGCCTCCCAATACTACCTACTTGGGAGACAGAGATCAGGAAGATCAAGGTTCGAAGCCAGCCCCGGCAAATAGTTTGCAAGATCCTGTCTCGAAAAAACAACACAAAACAGGGCTGGCGAGTGGCTCAAGTGGTAGAGTGCCTGCCTACCAAGTGTGAGGCCCTGAGTTCAAATCCCAGTGCTGTCAAAAAAACCAAAACAAAACAAAAAAAGAGAAAACCAACAGAAGGTTCTCTGGTTGGTCAGAATCTGAATACATCTGAAAGTAAGAAAGAACTAGTTTTTGAAAGACTGTAATCTCAAAACTGGCTTTTGGGGAGAGCAGAGGGGAGATGGCACAAATAATGTAAATGTGAAAATGATAAAATAAAAGGAGAAAAAAAGCCTCTGGCTTTCTGAATCATTGTTTTCTATACTTGCATGTTTTTTCTTTTTGGGTGATACTGGAGTGTGAACTTGGTATTACGCTTGCTTGGCAGGCATTGTACTGATTATGCTTTGCCTCCAGCCTCCTAACCCTACTTTTGTTTTTTGAGAATCCTTTTGCTCTAAGCAAAAGGATTTTTTTGGTCTTAAACCCCAGATTCTCCTGCCACAGATCCTCCTGGTTCGGGCTCCTGAATGCAGGGTGTGATGTGTGCCATCATCCCTGGCTCTAAGGACTCATTCAGACCAACAAATGCTATGTACACAGAATATTGGGGAATTAAATAGATAGAAAAGGCATTCTTTGCTCCTATAAGAAGTCAAGATTGACACATAAAACAATCAGCAAGTTCAATAAGACCATAAAGATTCCTGCTAGATCATGTGGCATTGAGTAAAAATAAGGATACTAGGAGCTGAAATATGCAGAGGTCAGTGTTAGCTGTAGTGTTTATATTGAGTTCATGGAGGAGGTAAGATGGGACTTGAACTGCCAGACATGCAGGGTTTGAATGGGTTAAGACAGAGTTGCCTAAAAAGAATAGTACTAGGCAAGGTAATGCAAGCTTGTAATCCCAGCCTGGGCAACTTAGTGAGACCCGCATCTCAAAATAAAAGGTCTGAAGATATAGCTCAGTGTTAGAGTGCTTGTCTGTATCATGCTGAGGCCTTGAGTTCAATCCCTAGTACTGGAAGAATAAAAAAGGAAAAGGAAAGAAAAGAAAGGACTGGCAACATGAACAAAGTCCTTAAGTTACAGGATTGTCCTGAATGTGGACAGTTTGAAATTGAGGACTGAGTGTTGATGGACTGCTGTGGGATATGTGTATTCATATGTATGTATGTATTTATGTACATGTCATATATAGTACATTCACAGATATAACTAGTTTCTTTTTTTTGACAGTACTAGGGTTTGAACTCAGGACCTCATGCTTGCTAGGCAGATGCTCTTACCACTTGAGCCACTCTTCCAGCCCTTTTTTGTGATGAACGTTTTCGAGATAGGGTCTTGTGAACTATTTGCACAGGCTGGCTTTGAACTGTGAACTCTGCTTCCTGAGTAGCTAGGATTACTGGCGTGAGCCAGTGGTGGCCAACTGTGTTGGATATTTTCGAATCTGATAAGGTCTCCCAAACTACTTGCCTAGGGCTGGCTTTGAATCTTGATCCTCCTGATCTCTGCCTCCTGAATAGCAATGATTTAGGCATGAGCCACTGGTGCCCGGCAAATATTCTTCCTTTCTGATACATATGAAATTAGCTTGTGTATGTTGAATTGAAATTAATTTCTCCACCCAGTGTCCTTTTTTTTAAACAGGCACTCTACCAATTGAGGCATTTCACTAGCCCTGTTTATATGTTGTCTTTTTTTTGAGATAAGGTCTCCCAAACTATTTGCCTAGGGCTGGTTTCCAATCTTGATCCTCCTGATCTCTGCCTCCTGAGTAGCTAGGATTACTGGTGTGAATCACTAGAGCCTAGCTTCCACTAAGTGTCTTAATGCCACCGGGAAGGAGGTTAGCTAATTTGCTGTTCTTTTTTACTAAAATTTGAGATGAGAGAAGTTCATGTTGGACCTCATGAATAACGTAGGGTTTTTTTTTTTTTTTTGCAGCACTGGAGTTTGAACTCAGGACCTACACCTTGAGCCACTCCACTAGCCCTTTTTGTGTGATGGGTTTTTTTCGAGATAGGGTCTCACAGACTATTTGCCCGGGCTGGCTTTGAACATGTATCCTCTTGATCTCTGCCTCCTGAGTAGCTAGGATTATAGGTGTGAGTCACAGGTGCCCAGCTGCATAATTCTTGTCTTTGCTGCTTTTAACATGTACTAGTATGAAATCACAAAAGGAAGTGCAAATCTGATCTGTGCTTTTCTAGACTTTTTTTTTTTTTTTACAGCCTTTTGCTCTTTCCTACAGGCCGGGGTTTGAAGTCTCACGCCTACATTCACAGTGTCCAGTTTAGCCATCATGTCTTCCTCAATCTCCACACCCTCAAGTTTTACTGCCTTCCAGACAACTATGAGATCATCGATTCTTCACTGGAGGATATCACGGTGTGTGTCCAAGAGGACTAGTTTGGAGCACATTTTTTTTTTTGAATTCAGGGCTTTAAGCTTGTTAGGCAGGTTCTGGGCACACTTTTGTGAGCCATCCCAGGACTCCCTGGGAATTGCCTTACCTGATGTCAGGGAAGAATCTGGACAGAGGGAGAAACTGGAATAAACTAAAGGTTTCAAAGTGAGTTCATGATGACTGAGTCTGCCCAGTCTGTGTCAGACTCATAATTCTGTGATTGGGAAGATTCAGATCCTGTCCCTCCAGTCCCAGGGAGACCTAGAGTCCTAGTCCTGTGCAGAGGGGAAGAAGTGCTTGGATCCTGAACTAATTACATCTCCTCTGGGTGGGGCTCTACTGGAGACTCAGGCTTTGCTGCCTTTAGAGACCTGAGTATTCTATAGTGTCTGGCAGTCATTGTTCATAAAGCTGACCAGACCAGAGATCTGAAGAAAGACCTGGGGTTCAGTGATTTTGGGGTGGACCCCCCAAGATTAGCAGCATAGAAGACCTACCCTATGTTACTTTGACCTTTATCCTTACTAGTTGAGGGGTTTTGAGTGTGTGGTGGAATGTTCATGACCAAGGCGTTGTTTTGGTTTTGGCAGAAATTGCTGTTCTTGACATAACTTGTGAACTCTGTTTGCAGCTATAAAATAACTTAGAAGTTTCTTTTTTCTTTGCAGTATGTGTTGAAGCCCACTTTCACAAAGCAACAAATTGCAAACTTGGACAAGCAAGCCAAATTGTCCCGGGCATATGACGGTACCACTTACCTGCCGGGCATCGTGGGGCTGAATAACATAAAGGCCAACGATTATGCCAATGCTGTCCTTCAGGTAGGACCAAGATGAGAACACTGAGGAAGAGAGCGTACCCTGGAAGCAATAAGAGGGTCAGCCAAAAATACTGCTTTCTTGTAGGGCACCTCAGGGTTCCAGACGGTTACTGTGGACTCATACGAACTCTTACTTGTTCTGTGACAAAAGGAGTTGCTACCAGATGATGAGGCTTTTTCTAGCCCATAGGCTTGTGGTTTCTACCGTGTCCAGGTGATGAGGGATGGAATCTGTTGCTGGGCAACACCAAATAAGAAATAAGCTAACTACTTCTTTTCTGCATTTTCATGGTATGGATGTTCATTGTGCAATCTATCTGGTGTCCTATTCCTGCTCCTGTTATAACCTGAAATGGGAGAGGCAGAAAGCCAAAGTTACTGTATTTTCAAATAAAAGTTTGTTTTTTGGGTTTTTTTTTTTTTTTTTTTTAAGACTATGCAGTCCATTGTCCTTGAACTTATGATCCTCCTGCCCTAACTTCTGGAGTGAAATTACAGGTGTGCCACTGTACCCAGCTACATGTACCTTTATTTATAAGTTTTAATTTAAAAGCATATTATAAGATCAGTATTCTTCTGCAGCAGCCTTTTTTGCTGAGACTGGGGTTTGAATTCTGCTTCATGTTCACAGGTACCACTTGAGCCATACTTCCAGTCCTGCAGCTTCCTTAATGATTACATGTTACTGCTCTTTTTTTTCTTTTCTTTTTTTTTGCTATTGGTTTGTTTTTCAAGTTAGGGTCTCACTATGTAGTCCAGGCTGAGCTCACATCACACTTGCAATTCTCCCTCACCATCCTGAGTGTTGGGATGACAGTTATGTGCTCCATACCCAGCTTAGTACTTCATTTGTTTTTATGTATTTATCTTTTTTGGGACAGGGTCTTGCTATGTAACCCAGGCTGGCCTTGAACTCACGACTCCCCTGCCTCAGCCTCCCCAAGTGCTAGGATTATAGCTGTGTACCACTGTGCCCTGCTTAGTGCTTTTTTTATTAATATAATTTATTTTGTTGCTACCATTTGTGGTAGGGCCTAGAGTCTAGGTTAAAGGGTTTCATAACAACTTACAAACCTACTAGCACACAAAAGAGAATTCTTTCATTTTGTGATTTTGCATTGTCACTGTTGGCATTGGAAAAAAAATTTTTTTTTCTGTTTTGATAGGAATTCCCTGTTGGGTGGGTGGGTGGGTGAGTGAGTGAGTGAGTGAGTGAGTGAGTGAGTGAGTGAGTGTGTGTGTGTGTGTGTGTGTGTGTGTGTGTGTGTGTGTGGTTGGTTGGTTGGGTTGGTACTGGGGCTTGAACTCTGGGCATTGTGCTTGTTAGGCAAGTGGTTTACTGCTTGGCCACACCGCTAGCCCTTAATGAACACCTGGCAAAGATTTTCTCCCATAGACTATTTCTTCATTCTGGTAATTGTTTCCTTTGCTGTGCAGAGGCTTTTTAATTTAATGCATCCCTTTGTCAAGTCTTGCTGTTATTTCCTGCACTTTTACAGTCCTATTCTGACAGACATTGCCTGTGCCTATATTTCGAAATGATGGTTGATCTAGTTTCATTCTTCTGCCTGTGAATATCTAGTTTTCCCAGCACCACTTGTTGTAGAAGGTGTGTTTTTTCCAATGTATGTTTTTGGCAACTTTGTTGGGAATCAGATGGCTGTAGCTCTGTGGGCTAATTTCTGGGTCTTGTATTCTGTTCCTTTGGTCTGTGTAACTGTTTTATGAAGTATCAAGCTGTTTTTGTTACTATGGTTCTGTAGTGTAGGTTGAAGTCACATTGTGGTATCTCCACCATTGCTCTTTTTGTTCAAGATTGCTTTGGCTACTTGGGGTCATTTGTATTTCCTTGAAATTTTAGGGTGGTTTTTTCTATTTCTGTAAAGAGTGTCATTAAAATTTTGATGAGAATTGCAGTAATGTAACCATTTTGACTATTAATTTTGCTGATACATGACTATTGGAGGTATTTCCATCTACTGATGTCTTCTTTTTCTTCACTGCTTTGTAGTTCTCATTATAGAGATCTGTAACCTCTTTGGTTAGGTTTATGCCTAGTTTTTTGTTTGTTTGAAGCTATTGTGAATGGGATTGTAATCCTGATTTCTTTTTCAATGAGTTTGTTATTGATGTATAAAAAAGCCACTGGTTTTTATATCCTGCTATTTTGCTGAAAGTGTCTATCACATCACCTTTAACAGTACTGGGTTTGAACTCAGGGCCTCACGCTTGCTAGGCAAGTACTCTACCACTTGAACCATTCTGCTGGCGTGTGTGTGTGTGTGTGTGTGTGTGTGTGTGTGTGGTATTTTTGAGATAGGGTCTCCCAAACTGTTTGCTTCTGGCTGGCTTCAAACTGCAGATCCTTCTGATCTCTGCTTCTTGAGTATCTAGTATTATATGCCTCAGCCACCAGCGCCTTGGTGGTATATGATCTTTTAAATGTATTTTTGATTTTGGTTTGCAGTATTTTATTAAGATTTTTGTGTTTATGTTCATCAAGAAAGTTGGTCTGTAGTTTTATTTTTTTGTTGTGTCTTTATCTGATTTTGGTATTGGGATAATACTGGTTTTGTAGAATGAATTTAGAAGTGTTCTTTCCTTTTCTATCTTATGGAATAGTCTGAGTATAGTTGGTCTTAGTTGTTTTTTTAAAGTCTGGTAAATTTCAGTACTCAATCCCATCCAGTCCTGGGGCTTTCTTTGTGGGCAGTCTTCATTACTGCTTCAATCTCATTGTTCATTATAGATCTGCTTGATTCCTCTTGATTCAATTTTGATGGGTCATGTGTGTCTAGAAATTTATTCATTTCTTTTTTTGGTGAGGTGGGGCTACTGGGGTTTGAGTTCAGGGCTATATCTTGAGCTACTTCACCAGTTCTACTTTTGTGATAGGTTTTTTTTCCTGAGAACTAATTGCCCAGGGCTGGGTTCAAATTGCAATCCTTCTGATCTCTGCCTCCTGAATAGCTAAGATTACAGGTGTTAGCCACGAGGTGTCTGGCATCATTTCTTATAGACTTTCTAATTTAGTTGAGTATAAGTTTTCAAAATCTTCCTTAATGATCCACTGAATTTTGATGGTGTCTATTGTAATATGTCATTATTTGTCTCTTAATTTTATTAATTTGGGTCTTTTCTCTTTCTTTGGTTTGACTAATGGTTTGTAGGTCTTACTTATCTTTTCAAAGAACCAACTCTTTGTTTCTTTGGCTGTTTGTATTGTTCTTTTGACTTCCACTTGATGCCACACTTTTATTTAGGGTCTGCTCTGTGATCATCCTCCCATTCCTATAGCTGAGACTAATGAGCATGTTTCTTCCTGAAGCTAAAATGACTATTGTTTCTCTTTTTACTTAATGAGGTTAGACTTATTTTAGTTGTTCTAAACCTTTGATCATTTTCTTATAGGACTATCATTACAAATTTGTTCACTTTTATATAAAACTGTATGGTTTTATTATAAGAACATATCAATTTTTAGTAAGGTGATCTTTCACATTATTTTAGTGTGAAGTTGAGATTCAGGATTTTTGTTGCCCAGATAGTTCTCTCTACTCCAACCAAAGTAGCTTTTAGTATCTTGAATTTTTTTTTTCTTTCTCCTTTTATTGTTTTTACATTTATTTACATGTGTATACGTTGTTTGTACCACCTCCCCCAACCAACCCCCCCCCCCAGTACTTTGAATCTTAACATTGTCACAGACATAGGCTAAAAAGGAAAATATTAAATAAGTTGGTTAGTGGCTATGGGGTTTGAATACTTTTTTTTTTGGTGGGACTAGGGTTTGAACTTAAGGCTTTGTGCTTACAAAGCAGATGCTCTACTGCTTAAGCTATGTCTCTAGTCCATATGCTCTGGTTATTTTTTAAATTAGCATATTATAGTTGTACAGGGAGGTACTTTGTGACATTTATCTAAGTGCTTACAATATCTTAGACTCACCCCCTCCATCTTTCTCCCTCTCCCTTCTTTGAACAATTTCATCAGGTTTTATTGTTCTATTTTCATACATGAATACAAAATATTTCCACCAGATCTGTCCTCTTTTACCCTTTTCTTATACCCTTCCCCCTCCAACTGGTACCCACCCCTGGTCAGGACCTATTTTACTTTTCTGTCCTTCATTTCTTTTTTTTTTTTTAAACCTGTAGTTATACAGGGGCTTGTGTTGTGTGTTCCATATATACATATATCCTGAAATGGTTCATCTCTTCCATTATTGTCTTTTCCTATTCCCTTTCTATGGTGACTTCAACATGTTTCAGTGTTCCATATTTATACTTGTATAGAAAGTACATTAACTGAACGTACCCTTTTTACTTTTTTCACACCCCCTTCCCAACCCCCTACTAGTGCCTGGAAATATGGAGTCTTTGAGAACTATTTGCCCGGGCTGGCCTTGAACCTTGATTCTCCCCATCTCAGCTTCCCAACTAGCTAGTATTACAGGTGTGAGCCACCAGCACTAGCCTTTTTTTTAAAACTACTTTATGATGTCCACGTCTATCAGGTGTCTGCAAAACTCTGCTCTGTGTGGAACTCAATGTGAAAGGTATTAAGGGTGTTATTTTTTTGTTGTTGTTGTTGTTTGCTGGACTGGGGCTTGAACTCAGAGATTTGCACTTGCAAAGCAGGCACTTGACTGCTTGAGCCACACCTCCAGTCCATTTTGCTCTTGTTTTTGTGGAGATGGGAGTCTCAGAAAGCCACTTGCCCAGGCTGGTCTTGAACTTATATTTACCTGGCCTTAGCCTCCCAAGTGACTAGGATTACAGGTATGAGCCAACAGTGTCCAGTTGTGAAGGGTATTTCTATGAGCCCTGGGCAGGATTCTCTAAGGGTCTATTTACTTCAAACTTTTAAGGTCATCCCAGGCCCATTAGTTGGACAGTTCTATAAGAAGACTGTTAGCTGCAACAGCTTGGCTCCAAGGGGTCCTGAAAAAGGTCTTGGATTAACTGGAATGTTTGATTTCCAGGCTCTGTCTAATGTTCCTCCTCTCCGGAACTACTTCCTGGAAGAAGACAATTATAAGAATATCAAGCGGCCTCCAGGGGATATCATGTTTTTGTTGGTTCAGCGTTTTGGAGAGCTAATGAGAAAGCTCTGGAACCCTCGAAATTTTAAGGCACATGTCTCTCCCCATGAGATGCTTCAAGCTGTTGTCCTTTGCAGCAAGAAGACTTTTCAGATCACCAAACAAGGTAAGAAATAAGCCATATCCATGTTCCTCTGATTTGGACAAAACTAGTTTGATTAAAATAATGAATTTCCACTTTGCAGTGAATCTCAGTAGTAGCAAGGAGTGAGTGTCCAATGGAGAGTGTTTGTAGGTTCCTCACTCCCCTAACCAGTAGGCCCTGCTCAGAGCACTGAGAGACTCCAGCTGAATAGAAAGTCTGTCTTACTTGGTAAAGTAAACTGCTTGGCTTAGAGGAAAACCAGGAGTCTAGGAATGACCCCAGCTCCTATTAAGCCTTTGCCACCTGTGCTGCTCATTTTGTCTTATCCTACACTAAGTGTATTCAGATGAACCACTTTGATCATTCTCATCTCTGTGAGCCCATTGCCTTATGAGTAAAGTAACCAGATCTCATATGGTGTGTGCGCTAGCGTCCTCCTCATGTCCTTCAGTGTGCTTTCACGCTGCTAGGTTTTTGAGTCGAAGTGGTAGGAAACATGATTTCTCTCTTCTTGGAGCTTTCAGGTTAGTGGGGAAGATAGTTGTGTAAAATGGTAATCATGGGGTACTAAGTGCTATGATACAAGGAGGCAGTGTTTGCTTTGGGAGGGACATGGAGTCAGGACCCCACAACTGAACATGTAGGAGGTAGGTTAGAGGTCAGAGAAGAGGAAGAGACCCTGAGTTTTAGGTAGAGGAGGTAGATCAGTGATGGATATTCCAGTTAGAGAGGATCCAACAGGCAGAATTGTGGAGGTGCCTAGTAGAAACACACTGGATTCAGGGGTCAGTAGAGAGCTGAGATGGAGGTTGGGAGGAGGGACTGGATTTCCTGGTTTAAATGCCACTGTAAGGACCTTGGATGATAGCCTGACAACAGTGGGAGTCGGTGAAGGCTTTTAAGCGAAGATACAACACCAGACCTGTGTTTGAGAAATACTCGTACTATGGAATGACTTAGAGGACAAGGTCAGTAGCAGCCTTTAAGAATCTTAGGTTCTTACAGGAAGGAAAACTAGGTGGTGGTATGTGAAGTAGTTAAGGAGGAGGGACTAAGGATGCATACTAAGGGTTTTAGAATAATAGGAAGATTTACTTTGGAATGGATAATGTACATTGATCAGCAGCCCCATGATTTATTCACAAATGAGCAGAAATTACTTAACTATTTGAGTGTGGTATTTAGTAGTTTGAAATGTGTACAGTAACTTTTTTTTTGAGACAGGGTCTTGCTGTTCAATACCAGGATGTATTGAACTCATTATGTAGCGTAAGCTGGCATCAAAATCACACTCCTCCTGAGTGCTGGCATAGGTGTGCACCACCATGCCTGGCTGGCCCGTAATCTCTTCCTCTGAGTACCTCACCCTTGTGAACAGTGGGCAGCCATTGCTTGTGCAGGATAGGACCATTGACTTCCAATAGCTAGAGTGGCTAAGATATCTTCTGTTTGTACAGTCATTTGTTTCTAGACCCACCCACTGTGAGATCATAGATTTTTATATTAAGGCTGCATCAGGGTATGAAGTTTTTATTTATTTATTTATTTACTTTTTTATAGTGGGACTAGGGTTTGAACTCAGGGCTTTGTGCTTGCAAAGCAGGCACTCCAACACTTGGGCCACATCTCTAGTCCATTTTGCTCTGGTTATTTTGGAGATGGGGGTGGGTCTCATGAACTATTTGCGTGGACTAACCTCAAACTCCAGTCCTCCCAATCTCAGCCTTTGGGTGTGAGTCACCAGCACCCGAATAGGGTATAAAATTTTTGTGAGTATTGTGCTTTGTGAGCCATGGATGTATCCTCATTCAGCATTCCCAGTGCTATATGGTTTACTACTGGCCTGAAGGTGGATATTGGGGCCTCTCAGCTTTGAGAGCTTTGGAAAGTAAAAGCATAATTGATGTAGAGTTGCAGAAAATATTTACCCTAAGAGTAAACTTAGCAGTTTCTTCTGTCATAGCCACTGTTTATGTTGACAGGTAAGCATGGTTTCCTCAGTCTCTGAGACCTTGGCCAATGTCATTTGCCTAGTGTTTAGATGTATTAAGAAGTTCTTGCTATGATTGTTTGCTGTCTCATAAAAGCATTCTATGCTAGGGGAAAAAGATCATTGTGTGGAGTTGTCAGAGCTCTTTAGGATTAGGGAAATGAACTTAAGGAAGACACATCCCATTTGAGTTTTTAAATGGATGTAAATCAAAGTACATTTTAGTTGGTAAGGAAGTAGCCATCATTCTAGAACTCCTGAGTGATATAGGTCCTTAGCACTGTTCTTATGAGTCAGGAGTATTTCCCATGTTCCTGTTCTAGAACCTCTTGCTCTAGATGCTTATAAGATGCCTTATAAATACTTATAAGTACCAACACCAGGAAGAGTTACCTTCTTGCAGAATAGGAATCTTTGTAAGCTGCAGGAGAGAAGTGGGAGCTTACTCTGGAGAAGTAGATATCACAAGATCTTCTTTGATTTGTTTTTCATCCCTGGGCGATGAGATACAAGTGTGGTATAGCCATGACAGTTAAATTTCCTGCTTTGGGTCAGAGCGCCTAAGGTGAGAGTAGACCGGAGGAGTAAGAGCAAGAGCTTGACTTTGAGGAGCATCAGGTTTAATAATGAGGTAGAGGAGGATGCACGGGGATGGGGTGTGTGGCTAGAGAGGAAGGGGGAGAGCTCAGACTGAGGAGTGGGGCCAGCTAGCATGTGGTTTGGGTTCCTCTCATGCCTCCCAGCATCAACATGTTCCACTTTTTTCCTCTCAGGGGATGGAGTCGACTTTCTGTCTTGGTTTCTGAATGCCCTGCATTCGGCTCTGGGGGGCACAAAGAAGAAAAAGAAGAGTAAGTTGTGCTGCTTGTAAAAAGGAGCTTTATTTTTCCCTCTCTTCTGAAAGACATTGCAACTTCTCATCCTTTTGCTCTTAACTGTTTACATTTTGGAGGCAGAGTTAGTATCTGTTGAACACACATACTAAATTTTCTTCCTGATAAACCCTTCTCCATATATTTTGTCATAAATATGGTTATTCCCAGTGATTGGTACCTATCTCTCTCTGTATATGTAATTCATACGTGTGTGTGTGTGTGTGTGTGTGTGTGTGTGTGTGTGTGTATCTATGTTTGTTTTTGTTTTATGATACAGGGTTTCACTAAGTAGCTCAGACCTGCACACTGGCCTAGTACAAGTCAACTGTGTAGCCCGTGGTGGCCTTGAACTCACTCTTCCTGCCTCAGTCCCCAATACTAGGATTACAGTGTGTGCTACATGCCTGGCTCCAGTGATATTTCTAATAAACAAAATGCCTGGAAGATGTTCTGTTAACTGAAATATGTCAGGCACAGAAAGACAAATGTGTGTTGTCTCATGTAGAAGCTAAAAAAGTTGAACTTGTAGGAGGAGAGAATAGTGGTTACCAGTGGTGGGGAGGGGCAGGATGGGTAACAGGTACAGTGTGCTGTAGACAGGGGAGTAACTCCTAATGTTCTGTAGCACAGTAGGGTAACTAGGCTGATAATTAGCTATATTTCAAAATAGCTACTAGAGAGATTTTGAATGTTCCCATCACAAACAAATGATAAATTTTTGAGGTGGTGATACACCATTTACCTTGGTACATTGCATATATAATTTAAAATATCATTATATCCCATAAATATGTGTCAATGAAACAATAAGAATACAAAAGCAGAAATGGATATAATTGCATCCTAGAAATCCTGAGCCTCTTTTTTTATTTGGCGGTAGTGGAGTTTGAATTCAGGGCCTGTGTTCCTAGGCAGATGCTCTATCACTGGAGCA